TCCCTCTGCCAGAAAGGGGGCAGGCTGATGAAATGACGGTCCCCAAAGGAGAGTAACCCAGGGGGATGGGGGAGGGAAGAGGGTAGGAGGGTACCTGATTATCCTGGTTTAGAAGTAAGAACTCGAGAAAGCTCAAGGTGCATCTTCAAGGTTGGGAGGCTCCTGTGAGACCAAGAGTGTAGGGGAAGTAAACTGGTCTCCCAGAGGGCTGGCTCCCCTAACCCTAAAACTGCCACGTCTGATAAACACACATGCACACACACATACCCTCTTCACATAAAACACACCCTCATTCTCCCGCGCTTTCACTTCCGTCAGGTTCTTTGTCACAAAGCTGTGACACCCTGGGATGTGTTTGTTTGCTTCTAGTTCTTACTCATCCTGTATTGGTCTTTCTCCCTCTTCAGCCTAAAGTTCATTTATAAGACTAAAATAATGCCTTTCTCTCGGTCCCTCTCTTCCTCTCCATTTCCTTCTCTATCCTTTCCAGGCCCCTTTCCTCCCTCTTTCTTCCTATCTTAGTTACTCACCCTTTATGTCTCCATTTCTGTATGTCCCTGTATTTGTCTCTTATTTCAGTCTCCTTCTTTGTTTCCATCTCTCTCTGGCCAAGTGGCAGCTAGGTGGCCCAGTGGTTAGAGCCTGGGGCCTGGAGTTAGGAAGACCTGGGTTCAAATATGGCCTCAGACACTTACTAGTTATGTGAACTTGGGAAAGTAATTTAACTTGTTTGCCTCAGTTTCATCATCTGTAAAATGGGGACATTACTAGCATCTACTTCCTAGGCTTGCTGTGAGGATCAAGTAAAATAATCGTAAAGTGCTTGGCACATAGTAAGTGCTATATAAATGTGAGCTATTATTATTCCAAATGTCTTCCTTTTTGCTCTCTGCCTCTCTCGATTTCTGTATTTCTATTTTTCCCTCTTTATTTTCATCTGTAGGACCCAGTGTTCTCCCTACAGTACTCTAACCAAGAATCCTGGATACCAGGGGCAACCCTTACAGTCAACATCCCCAACAGATACTGACTCTTCATACCAAGAGAAGGAGGCTTGTGTATTTCTGACACTTTTCACTTTCCTGGTAAGAAAAAAATTCCTTTTATTTTGAGTAAGATAATGAACATATGTGCCTCTATATGTCTTTATGCTTCTTTACAGAGGGGCTTCTGCGTGTATCAGCTTGTTCAAGTCACAAAATGCTCATAAAGGTTTCTCTTGTCTCTGGGGAAGGCTGTTTTTCAGGAAAAGTTTTGACTCCAAAGGGACCCCCTCCCCATCCCCCATTTCCCTTTCCACCTCCATGTCAGAACATTAGGCCTGAAGAGCTGGAAAACACCGAGGGAAAGCCCAGCTCTGAGATGAAGACTGTTTGTCTCGCTAAAGAACTTTGCTCTCAGGAAACAGAGCCCAGCCAAGCTGTCCCTCACTCTGAGACTTGGAAAACTCTGTGACATCTTTCCCGTGACACACAGGCCAGCTCCATAGTACCCACAAGGGCCAGGGCTAAGCTATCTGAAAGGTTCTCAGAAACGTGGGAGGTCATTGGCTGAGCCAGCTCTGAAGTCACAATGCTACCTCCTCCTCCAAGCACCAATTAGAAGGCTGTGTTAACAGGAACAGACCCAGCCTCTTTTCCCATCTCCACTTAACAACTATGCTGTAGGAAATCTCATCCTGCTACTGAGTAAGGTCCAGGATCTCTGGCTATTACTGTTCCCCACTAGGAAAGGACCAACAGGCAGGTTCTCCCTGGCCGCAGGTCATCAAGAGTGTCCCACTACTTATCACAGGGCAGTGGCCCAAACAAACAGTCAATCAACAAAAATGTATTAACTATATGTTGTGGACTTCTGTTCTGAGAGAGAGTAATTGATACCTGTCCTCAGAGTCAGGAAGACCTGTTCTGTCTGTGACACATATTGGTTTTGTACCCTAAGCAAGTCATTTAACTTCTCATTGCCCCAGGAAGCTCTAAGACTCTTAAGTTTCAGGTCAGATACATTTGTAGATGGAGTTTCTTCATCTGACATTCTGACATACAATGAAATCACAGGTCTAGTCCAAGGGAAAATAAATCCCAGGCATTGAGATCACATATATAATAATTAAATAGTCCCTTCCCTTAAGAAATTTGCATTGTGTCAGAGCAAAACCTTAATTCCTTACTGTTTTGAATGGTTAAGCTGACTCTGTACTAATCAAAATTTTGAGACACTTTAAAGGTCATGGACTCTTGAGAAGAAGATGGAGTCCCAGTCTAACCCCTGAGGGTAGAAGACAGCTTCTTTAACCTGACAGGTGTACTCTTTTAGGGGAAAAGTAAGTCTTTACAGGGAGCGGGGACTAGATGTTGAGGATCTCATATATTTCATGATTGGGAACCACCTCTTATTTTAGAAAGAAGCAAAACAAAAAGCAAGATCTGGAGATTAATCTTTCTTGTCTGAAGAAAGCTTTGCCATAGCAAAGATGGAACCATCTGCCACTGTCTGTTTCTGCCATTTTCCCCTGGTTGGGATCAGGAACATCTCACATCCCCTCCTGGGTTGAATGATGTCTTCCACAGCCCAGAGAGAAGGAAGTCTCTTCTACTTTCAGAAACCCCAGGACAAAGAAGGGGAATATCCCACTGATTCTGTTTCAGATAGGCCCCTAAGCTGTACAAAAGAAGGAACAACCTTTCTGTCCTCTCGTAACCCTCCACAGATGAGATAGACTTTGGAAAATAAGGATTAAGGAAAGAAACTCTGGCCTTCCCAACCAGTAAATATATCTTTAGCAGGATCACTCAATCTCCATTTACCTCAGCTTCTTCAACTGTAAAATGAGGATGATAATAGCATCTACTTGGCAAGGTTGTTGTGAGTATCAAATGGCATAACATTTGTAAAAACCACTTAGCCCAGTGTCTGGCACATAGTAGGCACTATCTAAGTGCTTATTCTCTCCCTCCCCTTTATTGTGAATTTTAAAAATACTTCAATAACTATTTTTAATCTTTTTTTAAAAATATAATTATAACTATTCTCCCTCTCCCTACCCAAATCCTTCTAGCCTTGAAGAAAAGGGGGAAAAAACAACTTTGCAACAAACAGGCAAAAATATCCACACATTAGCCATTTCCAAAAATGTATGTCCTATTCTGTACCTTGAGTCCTTAACTTCTCTGTCAAGAGGTAGGTAGCATGCTTCATCATTAGTCCTTTGGAGTTTTAGTTGGTGATTGAATTTATTGGAGTTCCAAAGTCTTCCAATGTTGTTTTTATCATATATGTTGCTCTCCTAGTTCTTTTCATTCACACTCCTTCAGTTCATACAAGTCTTTTGGGTTTCTCTGTATAATCTAGCTCCCAAAAAACTTGGAGCATTTCGTTGCTGTATATGCAGAAGACATGATTCTAGGCTGGTAGATAGAATGCTGAGCTCAGCATGGCACTGAAAACCTGTGTTAAGAGACTTACATAACGAATGCCCAAAATTCTTTAGGATAGACAGATGGACTGGGAACACTCTATAGAGGTGACAAGTATGGGAAGCCAGTCCCATCATGTCCCTACATTTGCTTGAACTAGAATGCTAGAATATACTATTCCCATGTAAGTGTTTTTTCTCCTAATATGAGTTCAAATTTCATTTCACTCCAGCTAGAGAACTCATTCACTCTTGTATATTGTTTGTTATATTCTAATGTGTATATCTTCTATTTCTGTTTGATGTTTGCTTGAATAAATAGGCTTACTTTTGTGTAACTAGTATAATATAGAAAGAAGCCAAGCTTGCAAGTATGAACTAAGGCAGAGGTGGGGAACCTGCAGCTTCGAGGCCATATGTGGCCCTCTAGGTCCTCAAGTATGCCCCTTTGACTGAATCCAAACTTCACAGAAAAATCCCCTTAATAAAAGGATACCTTCTTTCTTAGGAATGACCAGGGAAGCAACTTTCCTTCTGAACCTTGACTTGTAGCCCTAGACCAGAGATATTTAGAGGAAAAGATTCTAGTCTAGTACCCCTCTCAGAGACTAGAAGAAAGAGTGCCCATCCTTAGTACCGCTCCTGGGGCCTACCTGCTCCTCCCTAGGGCACAGGAATAGTCCTTGGCTCTTTTCTTCTCTACAGGGGTGAGCCAGGTCTCACATCATATCTATCTGTGCCACCCATGACCAAATTGCTTTCCAGAATGACTGGACCAATTCACAGCTCCGCCAACAGTGCATTAGTGTATCTGTTTTTCTGTAGCCCCTCCAATGGTTGTCATTTTCTAGGGTTTTTGTTTTTGTTTTTTATCTTCACCAGTCTGATAGGTGTGGGATAGAATCTCAGAACTGTTTTAACTTATATTTTCATTATTATTAGTGATTTGGAGCATTTTTTCATATGACCATCAATAAGTTGGACTTCATCCTTTGATAACTGCTTGTTCATATCCTTTGACCACTTATCTACTGGGGAATGGTTCTTGTTTTTACATATTTGATTCAAGTCCCTATATGTCTTGGATAACAGACCTTTATCAGAGAACCTTGATGCAATATTTTTTTCAATAATTCTTCATATCTATGTTGCAATTTCTAAGAGAAAGAGAAAGTACCCCTGAAGAAAGGTGGGGCTTTGGGGTGGGAGTGGTGAATTTGTGAGAGAACAGAGCCCCAGAATAAGAAGCCCTAGGTTGAAAAAGCCATGGGAAGGCTTGGGGATAGATACCAAGAAGAATTTCCCAGCTGGATTAGATGTCTAAGGCAAAATGGTGGAGAATTTGGAGCACAAGAGAGAATAAAGTGGGCAACTGGGTCACCACTCTTCATGAAAATGTCTCCCCCCCCATCCCTGGGGACTCAGTTATTGGTCCACAATGCCTTGCATCCTTCTAGCTCCAGGCTAGACTAGCACAGTTTAATGGAACCCAGCCCCTTCCATTCCCCCCACCCCCACCCCCCTTGGATTCAATCTGTTTCCTTCTATTCTTTGACAGGAAGCTCCCAGAGAGCCAGCTACCCCCAATCCCAGCCCCACCCCAGCACTCCCTCTCTCCTCCTCATTATGGACAGAGCTTCCCTTGAGCTGAACAGCGGCAGGACCGGTGGATATGAGCACAATCAGAGCCCAGCTATGTTTGGGGATTATAAGCTACGTTCTGTTTCAAGGTAAGGAATGCCTTTTTTTCTTCCTCTCAGCATTAATAGTCCAAGAATCCCAGGAGGGTGGTCCTCATAGATTCTAGAGAATCACAACTATTTCACTCGTCCAAGAAAAAAATCTCAAATTTTTCCTCCAAAGGAAAAGCCTAGGAATCAGATCACTATTGGGTGATAACTGTGGACTTGTAGGGCACATTCCCAAGGTGATGTGCAGAGGGGGATACCCTGTCCTACTAACCTTACTCAGGAGACAGAAAGTTGGAGAAACTTGAGCCCCTGGTCATTAAGTCCCATGTCTGGACTTTCAAATGGGGAAGATTGTTTTTCCTTGCCCAAATGTACGAGGTCAACAGTATGTGACACTTTCTAGAGTTTGCTCTAAAGCCAAATAACTCCATTCCTGGGTTGAGAGAGAGGGAACAGAGAGAGGGGCTTCCTTTGCCTTCCCCCTCTCCCACAAATCATAACTCTAAATTGATTACTAAGGGAACACAGGAAGCTGAGGTGATATTTATAGCATTGGTAATAATGGTCCTGGGGAATAAGGACCCTGGTGTTTAATATCTGGACATCTTAGCACCTGGTGACTGGGAAGGACCTAGGATGTTTGGTCCATAGAGAAGGCTACCCCTTCCTTGGTCCTAGATGAGGAGCCTACTGTTAGTGTCTTTGACACCAAATCCTCTTTGCCTTCAAAAGTTCAAGGTACCATGTTTTTCTTAGATCTGAGAACTTATCAATATTGATTTTCGGTTTCATGTTTCCAGGGAGCCACTGATCCTCAATCATAGCAGGAGGGACTAGGGTTAGAAGGAAGAACTTTCCTGTAGGGAAGGTGACTAACCCTTTGAATCAGCCACTAAAAGAGACCATGAAACAAGGCCACAGAGTCAGTTTCCCTGGAGTTCTTCAAGAAGTGAATTCATTTTTCTTATCCTGGGCTGGAGGAGCTGATATCTTTATGGAGGTTGGAGGATGGATCTGATTACCTCTAGGGAACCCCTGTTTTATGATAAAGAAGAGTCGATATCACAGAGACAAGAATAAAACCATTCAGTTTTTCCTGCTTCTTGTGAACAGCTAGCTAGTTAGGGCATTAGTAGCTTCCTAATTAGGAAGCCATTGCTGGGAACTGAGGAAGGTCCTGGAAGCTGTGACTCACAAATCCAGGAACTTCCCTTTAGTCCCTCCCCACCCCCACTCCCACATTAGGTACAGGGGCTGGGCAGCCAGTGCTCTGGGAAGCAGTCAAGAAAGGGGAGTCATTCTGGAGAGCCCCTCGTCAGGGCAACGGGCCCCATATTCCTGGGAGAAGCTGCCCTATTTGTTCTTCCCACTACCAAATATTATGTCCAATGGCTCAGTGTTCAGGGGAAGGACCCCACAGAAGACTGGAGAAGCCAGATTCTCCTCTACAAACCCTGGGGGTTGGGGGTACAATGAGAGAGTCACACTGATCTCCACAATATGATGTAGGGGCATGAGCTGTGCCTTATTCACCAAGCATCTCTGGGTTCAGGTGGAAATATACAGGGTAGCATCCTCATTTCCAGGCCTGGGTTATAAGCATTTGAGAAGAAGAGAGAAGTTGGAGATGACAGAAGGGGCTAGGTAGTCTCCTACATTGGCTAGCTCTTGCTGCTCTGTCCTTGGACTTCTCTTGGGGATGGGGATGGAGGTAAGCAGGAGTTCTCTCTGGGACAAGTAGATGACTGGTATATAATATTTATAGATTTGTAAAATGAAATTAAAAGATGAGCATGCTAAGGGGATACCATCAGACTTCTGCTAGAATAGTATCAGGATTCAGAGAAATCTTAGAAATCTTCCAGTCTAACACCATCGTTCCCCCTTTCTTGGCTTTGACCAAGGGGATGGAAGACAGAGTGGTTGGTGATTAGCAAAGAGTTTATTTATCCAGAGGCACCCTAGCCTTCAGAGCTGGACTTCATTCTCTTACATCCATCATAGAGAGAATCATCAACAGCCACAGGAAAAATGTGGTGGTAATAAGGGACATAGAGGCTAGATCATCATAGCTTTGGAACTGATCTTCCCAAGATGCTAACTCCCCACAAGAACAAGGTGGGGGGAAGGTATACTTTGTTCTTTTAATGTTACAGGACAAAATATACTGCCTTCAAAAAATTCAACAAACATATTAAACCAACTCTTTGCAGCACACTGAGGCATTGTGGTACAGTAGAAAGAGTGTTATCTTTGGACTTGAAGAGCCTGGGTTTAGACACCATCTCTATTATTTGTGTGTGTGTGTGTTAACAGATATTCTTTTTTTAAAAAAAAAATAATTTTACTTTTAGTTTTCAACATTCACTTCCACAAGATTTTGAGTTCCAAATTTTCTCCCCATCTCTCCACCCCCACCCCCAAGACAGCATGCATTCTGAATACCCCTTCCCCCAATCTGCCCTCCCTTCTATCACCCCCCCTTCTCTTATTCTCTTCCCCTTCTATTTTCCTGTAGGGCAGGATAGATTTCTATACCCCATTGCCTATATATCTTACTTCCCAGTTGCATGTAAAAACAATTTTTAACATTTGTTTTTAAAACTTTGGGTTAAAAATTCTCTTCCTTCCTTCCTCCACACCCACCCTCATTGAGAAGACAAGCAAGTCGATATAGATTATACATATGTAGTCATACAAAACACTTCTGTAATATTCATGTTGTGAAAAAACAACTGTATTTCCCTTTATCCTATCCCACTCCCCCATTTATTCTCTTCTCTCCTTTGACTCTGTTCCTCCTCAAAAGTGTTTGCTTCTGATTACCCCCTCCCCCAATCTGCCCTCCCTTCTACCATCCCCTCCTCTCTTATTCCCTTCCCCTCTATCTTCCTGAAGGGTAAGATAGGTTTCCATACTCAATTGAGTGTGTATGTTATTCCCTCCTTAAGCCAAATCCAATGAGAATAAGATTCACTCATTCACTTTCACCTTCCCCTACTTCCCCTCCACTGTAAAAGCTTTTTCTTGTCTGTTTTATGTGAGATAATTTACCCCATTCTACTTCTCCCTTTCTCCTTCTCCCAATATAATCCTCTCTCAACCCTTAATTTTATTTTTTAGATATCATCCCTTCATCTTCAACTCACCCTGTGCCCTCTCTCTCTCTCTCTCTCTCCTTTTCTCTCTCTCTCTCTCTATATATATATACATATATATAATTATATAATATATATACACACACACACACACACACACACACATATATATATATATATATATATAATTCCCCTCTAATTACCCTAATACTGAGAAAGGTCTCATGAGTTACAAATATCTTTCCATGTAGGAATATAAACAGCTCAACTTTAATAAGTCCCTTATGGTTTATCTTTCCTGTTTACCTTTTCATGCTTCTCTTGAGTCTTGTATTTGAAAGTCAAATTTTCTATTCAGCTCTGATCTTTTCATCAAGAATGCTTGAAAGTCTCGTATTTCACTGAATGTCAATTTTTTCACCTGAAGGATTATACTCAAGTCTTGCTGGGTAGGTAATTCTTGGTCATAATCCTAGTTCCTTTGACTTCAGGAATATCATATTCCAAGTCCTCTGATCCCTTAATGTAGAAGCTGCTAAATCTTGTGCTATCCTGTGTTTCCACGATACTTGAAATGTTTCTTTCTGGCTGCTTGCAATATTTTCTCCTTGACCTGGGAACTCTGGAATTTGGCTATAATATTCCTAGGAGTTTTCCTTTGGGGATCTCTTTCAGGAGATGATCAGGGGATTCTTTCAATTTCTATTTTACCTTCTGGTTCTAGAATATCAGGGCAGTTTTCCTTGATAATTTCTTGAAAGATGACGTCTAACCTCTTTTTTTGATCCACCATCCCTATTATTTACCACCTGTATGACCATGGGCAGATCACTTAACTGATCTCAGTTTTTTCATCTGTCCCAAAATTCTGTGCTGGGACCTTCTTTTCTCTGTTTGAACGGTCTCTCTCTTGGTCATCTCATCAGCTCCTACAGGTTTAGCCATCATCTCTATGCAGAGTACTCTCCGATTTATATATCCAACCCTAGTCTCTCCTCTGAGCTTCAGGCCCAGATCACAAACCACATATTAGGTATTTCAAACTGAATGTTCCAGAGACTTCTCAAATTCAACATGTCCAGAACAACTCATTATCTTTTCCCATGAGCCTACTCCTCTTCTAGACTTCTCTAGTTCTCTCCAAGGCACCAACATTGTTCTAATCTCCTAGGTTCATAATTTCATTATCCTTGACTTCTCACTCACCTCACCCCATAAATCCAATCAGTTTCCAAATCTTGTTCTTTCTACTTCTGCAAAAGATGTCACATCTGACTCCTTCTTTCCCCACACACACCACATCACTTCTTGCCTAGATTATTGCAACAGCCTCTTCATTGGTTTCTCTTCCCACTCCAATCTGTACGCATCTTCCTTAAGTGTAGATCTGACTATGTCACTTTCCTATCTAATAAACTCCAGTGGCTCCCTATTACCTCTAGAAAAAAAAACATAATTTATGTTAAGAAGCCCTTCACAATGTGGTCTCCCTTTATCTTTCCAGTCTCATTGAACATCATTCTCCTCCTGCACTCTGTGATCCGGCTATCTATTCCCCACCTCCATGTCTTTGCACTGACTGTTCCCCCATTGCTGGAATGCCCTTCTTCCGTGCCAGTCTCATAAAATCCTTCTCCAAGACCCAGCTCAGACATCATCTTCTACATGAAGTTTTTCATGATCCCTCTACTGCTAGTACCTTCGTTCCCTAACCATCTTGTGTTTAACTACCTTGTGTTTGTATTGATTCTCTTATATTTATGCTGTATTTGCTTATATTTGTATTTGTTCTCTCCCATGTTAGAATGTAAGGTCTTTGAGAGGGGGTATTGTTTTGGTCTTTGTATTTTTATCCCCAGGTCCTAGCATACTTCCTGGCACATGGTAGGAACTTAATAAATGCTTGTTAAATGATTAGTCAGTAAAATGGAAATATTGGACTAGACAAATTCTAAAGTCTCCTCCAGCTTTGAATTTATTGTGATTTTTGAAAACAAAGGATTTTAACTTCTTTATGTCACAGACTCCTTTGGCAGTCTGGTGAAGCAAATATTGACCCCTTCTCAGAATCATTTTTTTTAAATTCATAATTTAAGGAAATGCCAAATTTAAGTGAGTGAAAATAAAAATATATTTTTCCCCATCCAAGTTCAGAAATCCATTAAAACATAGATATATATGGTAGTTACTGGGAATACAACAATGCAAGTATAAGTTGTCCTCAAGGAGTTTATAGTCCAATGAGGAGAAGGATAAGATATATACACAAATAACTCTAAGGTCAAATTTGTTAAGTTCAAAGGAGAGAGTCAGGAAAAGTGTTGTGAGAAATTGGATGGGCAAGCTCACTTCCTGCTGGAGGGATCAGGGAAGACAGTAGAGGAGGTGACACCTGAGATGGGTGTTGGAGGAAGGAAGGAATTTCAACAGGTAGAGATGGGGATGGGAAGAGTCAGTTCCAGACATTGAAGACAGCTTGACCAAAGGAACAGAACAAGATAAGAATGGGAAATAATAGGTATCTCAGTTCACTCTAATTGTAGTTCACGAAAATAGTAGTAGGGTCAGAAAAGTAGGTGGGGGCTAGCTTTGTACATGGTATGGCTCTCAACGATTATGTGTTGAATCAGTGTTTGAGTGATTGATTATGTATTCTTACAATCAAGGAGCTTCTTAGGCTGTCAGGGTCCTTCCAAGGTCATCTCACTTATGCCTCCTGATAGGAAGGCCTCTTCCCTGTCCTCAAACAACTCCCCTCCAGGGAAGGGGTTACAGTTGTGGCAATGAGGGATGGTGACCTGGGAAAGCCAGCCTCATTGTTTGGATGCACCTCGACTGGGAACAATGCAGCAAGCCAAGTGGAAGTCCAGTGGAAGATGGCAAGGGTTTAAAGAAAATAAACACACCAGGCAAGCTGCATGCTGGCACTCAGTCCCAGATCCCTCTCCCTGATCTCACCCACCCAGGGCTGGGCAGCTGTTCCCCAAACTTGGGCCCCTCAGGAACTTCCTTTAACTCTGAGCAGCCCAAGGAACAGGAGTCCTAGGCCAGAGTATAGACATCAGCCCCAGTCAGGGCTGTAGGAAGGGAACCCCAACTGGGTGGTTCCACTTCCCCAAGTTGTTTTCCTTTCAACTCATTCGCATGTTTCAAGGATGATTTCATTGTGTAAAATTGGGAAATGCTCTCTTTGTGCAGCACAAACACAACCCATTATGTCTGCCTGTGTGTCTGTGTGTACACACACACACACACACACACAGGGCATTCATGAAAGTCTGTTTCTCAGGGATCTGGGTGATCGACACCCTCTTCTGGGTGGGCTGGCATTAGCCATTTCCACATTCTTTACCCTTCCTAGGGATTCTCTTCCTGTAGAAGAAGAGAGAGTCCTTCCAGTTAAGGAATAAAGATCACCATCTGCTTAAGGAGGGAGGAAATCAGCAATTATTAAATATCTATTATGTGCCACGCACTGTGCTAAGTACTTTACAAATATTATCTCATTTGGTAATGTTTGATAATAATTGGTAGGTCAGATTGCTCAAAGTTGTATTTTTTTTTTTTATTGAGTCAATTGACCAGTTGAAAGATGGCCTGAAAAACTGCCCAAACACTTCTGTCTGTATATATTTTTATACATAAGTTAAAAGAGGATTTATCACATGGGAGGAATGGAGTGGAGTGGGGATGCCACATTGGGAAAGGGAGGGAGGGAAAGGGAGGGTTGGTGTCATGATGCCTGTTGGAGTTCAGACTTTCCTGAGCATCAAAAGTGGGATGTCTTGTGGTTGTTAAAGGATGGAAAGGACTTGCAAGGACAGACCCTTAAGAGCCACCTAAGGGTCACTTAGATTAAGTTGGCTCCTACAGTTGAGTAACACTTTACTGAGCACAAAAAAGTAAATTGTCTTAGGAAAAGTAAACCAAAGTCACAGTTACAAAGCCACAGGAGAGAAAATGGAATATGTGTTCCCCAGTTTCAAGAACAGTTTTTAAAACAGAAGCACTTATGCTAAGCTGGTTTCTATATTCTAGAGACCTTGAACTGACCACATAGGCACTTCTTCCAAAGGGGAAGCTGTAGGTTCTTAAGTGACTGGACTAAGAGGGTACCAAGCACTCTAGACTCGGGCCATGCCAATGATTCTTGTGCCACTATTCTATGGGGTTGAGCAAAGGTGATTCTCTCCATGCTACATATAGTGACACTGAAGCCCAGAGAAAGGGTGAATGAATTAACTATGATTCCACAATGAATTAGTTTTCAGAGCCAGTATTCATATTCACATCTTCCAACTCCCTACAAGGGGTTTTGTCTACTTTTTTACCTCCTAGTCATGGTGCTCAGGAGGCTAAATGGGTTGTTCCCTATGGCAGGACCCAGCAGGTACTAGCGCTGCAGGTTGTACCAGTTTATCATTCTTTTCTTACTCTCGTAGGTGGCTCCTCCCAAAGCCCACGAGTCCAGAGCCCTGGATTTCGGCAGGGTAAGGTGAAAACAACAGCGGGATTAGGGAAACTGGCAGGGAGATCATATGAATTATTACAGCGTCCCCAGGGCTGGAGGTGGTGTGAGAAGACTGCAGAAACCCTGAAGGGGCAGCAAAAGAGACCAAGTCTAAGGGGGGTTTTTTCACACTTGGTCAATTCAAGCTGGTTTAGGAAGGCACCAAGGCCAGTGTGGAACCTTCAGCCTTGAAGCCACATGTGGCCCTTTAGGTCCTCAAGTGCAGCCTTTTAACTGAATCCAAACTTCACAGAACAAATGGTTTAGTAAAGAAATAAACATTTATTAAGCATCTATTATGTGCCAAGCCCTGTGCTAAGTGCTGGGGATACAAATATGGAAAAGAGACAGTCCCTACTCTCAAGGAACTTACAGTCTAATAGGGGAAGATAACATACAAAAGGAGGCTGAAAATACTTACTATGTGCCAGGCACTGCACTAAACACTTCACAAATATTGTTTCATTTGATCATCATTTAGATGATGACTGCCCCCCTCCCTCAGCTAAATTCAAAAAGGGTAGCAGCCAGGCTGATCACAGGGCAATTAGTTTTTCAGCCAAAGCAACTGAAGTTCATCTGCTAAGAGGGTTTTGATCTATGGAGGTGAGGGAAGTAGCCAAATTGATAAAATAAGAGATCTTTGAAACTTAAAATAATAATATAATTTAGATAGAACTTGGAGATTTACAAAGCACTTTACATAGAGTTATCTTATTTGATCCTTACAACAACCTTTTAAGGTGGCTTATATCATTATCCCCATTTTACAGATGAGGAGACTGCAGCAGCTGAGAGCAGTTAAGTGAGAAAAAGCCCCAGACATAATAACAGTGACATCAGCCTTTGATTGTCTGTTTCATGAGTCATCAGTGCTGTAGCTAGTGTTGAGACAGGTTCCCCAAGTACAAGTTCAATCTGCTGGCAAAGGGTGAAGAAGAGGATTTTTAGCAACGCTATAGCCAGGGCAGGATATTGGTTCCACTCTCTCCAAGGCTTTCAAGTGACAGGATATCAAAGATTCCAAAGCCCAGGGTAGAAGAATTGCCCCAGGGCAACCGTATTGGCAACCCTTCCCTGAAACTAATTTGACATATATCCTTCCAGGTAGTAAGCCTTCCACCTTCACAGCTCACTCGGCACCTCAGTCCACCACAGGCATCCCAGGTAAATATGAGATTTAGCCAGGTCTTAGGCCTGGGCCTGAGCCTGAGCCAGGTAGTTCTTCCTTGCTGGTCAAAGAAGGTGGATGATAGCATGGGTAGAAATTGGCAGGGGGAGAGAGAAGGGGAGTAAGTATTAGCGGAAGAGTGGGAATTAGGTAATGGGAGTAAGGCATCCTGTGAGTTGGAATCAGTGTCCAGTTAGGGATGTTGAACGCTAAGGATGGGGGACTAAGTATTTGAAGGCTTTAGGATCTAGTCCTAACCTGGGCCCAGGAATATTTTACCCTTTGAAAATTTGCTGAGATGTTCCAAAAATGAAACAGATAATTGGCAAAGCAATGGTCAAAGATAAAAATCCCCACTGCTAACCATTACCTGGAGAGCTAAAGTATTTTGGACAGTAACTTTGGTTATTTCTGGGATATCTGCCTGTAGTTCTCAGATTCCCCCAAAATGCTGCCTTGGTCTTCACAGAATCTTTGAGGATGTCCACACTGGTTTCCACAGTGAGGGGTGAATCATCAAGTCCAAGAACATCCATCTCGCATAGTCTCCAATCTTCTCCCTTTGGTCCTACGATGAAGACCCAGACCCAGACCCAGAAGCAAGAAACCACCTCAGGGCGAGGTAACCACAGGCTCAAGGTGGGGGTGGATTGGTACTGAATGATTCACACTTAGGGTTGCATCCAAGTTCCTCCCCTGACCCTCGGGCAGTGTTGCCCTAGGAACTGAGAAACTGAAAGTGGTTTTGGGATGGGTAGGAGGAATTGTGAAAGTGCAGGAAAGAGACAAAATGCTGGTCATATTGAAGGGAAAAGAGCAGTGACTTGGGACATTTGTAAGTGACAGAGGGGAAGAGGATTGGCAGCTGGGGGAAATTGAATAATAGAAAGGTAAGAAAAATGGGGAAGACTCAGCCCCACTCTGGAGAGTGGGGTCCTACCCAGAATAGGAATGGTGCATAGGACTTGTGGTTCTGTGCTTTCCATACTGGTGGTACCTTGTATCGTAACTGGGCCTCCTTCTCCCCCATGTGCAGGTACAAGTGCCCTGAGTTATAAAACCAGAGAAAGAGCCCAGATCCCCACTTCTGCAGGTGAGCCCCTAGCTCCTGATAATGAGATATTCATCGTAAGAGACCAACGATAAACAGGGAAACTCCGTTTGGGCCCTCTTCCCTTCCACCATAATCCTAAATTGAAGGACAGCTAGGTGGCACAGTGGATAGAGCGCCAACCCTGGAGGCAGGAGGACCTGAGTTCAAATCTGATCTCAGACCAGAGACTTGACACTTACTAGCTGTGTGACCCTGGGCAAGTCACTTAATCCCAATTGCCTCGCAAAAAAACCCAAAAAACATAATCCTAAGTTGAAATAGAATCAAGAGCAAGAGGCACTAGAGAGGAAAGAGAAGGAATGGAGATAAATTTTTGTTGACTGAATTCAATCATGCCACTGGCCCAAATGTGACCATTAGACCCAACATCTATACCAAGAAACCTGTAATTTTTCTGATATGCACATCCCCTCCAATGACAGTTTATAGCTCTTCTATAATTTTGTAGAGGATCTTTGAGAATTCTTCATTTAAAAAATTTGTCATTTTGTGGCCAAGCTGGTGAAATAAAGGTGTCTCCTAACTTAAAACTAGGCTGATACTTTCCCAGATCATCACTGGGTCCACACTTCATTATCATTATCGACAATAGTCATTAAGTGCCTCCTATGTGCCAAGCAAAGTCCTAAGCACTGGGGATACAAAGTAAGGTAAAAACCTGATCCCTCCCCTCAAGGAGCTTACATTCTAAGCCTCTCCAATTTGGTAGACATTGCCACAGCTCGTCCTCTCCTGCAGGAACCCCCTGGTTGCCTCCGTGTCACAGTGGGTCATCGCAATGGCAGTTTAAAGGAGGCAAAGATATACATCTGAAACCTGCATTATGTAGATAATTATCTCCATTTGCCACTTAGTGTTGCATGAGTAATGATACGATAAATCAACCAACAATAATTAATTGGTGCCTTGTTCACTTGTTTTCCATCATATCCATTGCGTCTGACTCTTCATGACTGGGGTTTTCTTGCCAGAGATGCTGGAGTGGTTTGCCATTTCCTTTTCCAGATCAGGAAACTGAGGCAAACAGAGCTAAGTGATTTGTCCAGGGTCACACAGCTAGTAAGTGTCTGAAGCCAGATTTGAACTCAGGAAGATGGAGTCTTCCTGACTCCAAGCCAGGTGCTCTATCCACTGCTCCACCTAGCTGCCGATGTATACTCTGTGGATTATAGAATTTAGAGCTTGGAGGGACCTTGTAGATCATGTAATCCAGAGGTTCTTAACTTTTTGTGTGTCATGGATCCCTCTGATATCCTGGGGAAGCCTTTGGACTCTTCTCAGAATCACGTTTTAAAGTACATGTGATGACAGAGGAAACCAATTATATTGAAATGCAATTATTGAAATATTTTTTTAAACTAAGTTCACAGGCCCCAGGTTAAGACCCCCCTGATCTAATCCCACCTTCCTAGTACCCCACCACCACCACCATCTTACAGATGGAAACTATAAAGTCTAGAGTTCTGGTGTGGTTTGCTCAGTGTCACATGGATTGCAAGTTTCAGAGAGGGGATTAAAATTTAAGTCTTCTGACTCCAGATCTAATGCTTCTTCCACAAATGCCTCATGGCATTGTGGAAGATGAAAAAGAAGCACAGGCACAGCAGTCCCCAACCTATTGATGATTGTATTAGAAAGTTCACATCTATCTATGTCTGTTCTCTGTTAGCAGGCTAACCTGGCATTGAATTCTCAAAGTTGCTCAAAGGGCCAAGAGTTCTATAAACCTTAACCACCCCATGTTACAATGTATTCTCAAAGTTCTTGTCTGTATTTGTTCTGTGTTCCCAAGCTAGCCTGCTGTTGAATTCTCAGTATAGCTCAAGGGCCAAGATTTCTGTAGACACTAACCATCCCCTGTTAAATGGATTCTAAAAGTTCATGTCTAGGTCTGTTCTTTGTTCCCAGGCTAGCCCACCACGGAATTCCCAGTATAGCTTAAGGACCAAGAGTTATGTAGAGCCTAAGCATCACATGTAACAAAATTCCTAAAGGAAAATGAATTCTGAGTTCCAAACTAAAAGAATAAGAACCAAATCCAGTTGTAGGCAGATAAAGGTACTTCCTTCACTTTCCCCAGCTGCTGGGTAGTGAGGGTGAGGGCTGCCCTAGCTTTAAGACCAAGGTGTCAAACAGGCCACAGCATCCAGGCTGCAACATGCCCTAATGGGGCCAATCAGAGTAAAATATAATTGAGAAATATTTAATAAATTAAATAAAAATAGAACATATTATTATAATATGTGGTTTTCTAAGTCAATATGTGTCCACCTACAGGGATCCTTAAGTGCCCCCTATTTCTATTAGAATTTGACACCACTGTTCTCAGATATTGGTGGTAATTTCCCAAGGTACAGTATCTCAACATTATGAATTTGTGAGGAAGAGGGAATTAGAAGGGAGTGAGGCAAAATGTCATTCCATTTTTTTTTAAAGCAAGGCCTGCAACCATCTTATTCCTCTCTCCACCATTAAAAAATAAAAATAACCTTGCCTGTTAAATTTATACCTGTTGATAAATCATCCCACTTTCTTTTTTTCCTTTCCTCTTCAAGCCTCAAGAAAGGGAAACATGGCATAGTATTTAGAGAGCTTATGTCAGAGCCAGGAAGACCTGGGTTCAAGCCCCATCTTTGAAGTATCCTGGCTATGCAGCCCAAGGCAAGTCACTTAACCTCACAATGCCCTTGGCCAGTAGAGTCAAACTCAAACAAAAATAGAAGCACTAAATCCAACCCCTGAGGGCACATATAGAAAACCACATATTAACATTATTTATGTCCTATTGTATTTTTGGTCCTATTTTATTAAATATTTCTCCATTACATTTTAACCTGGTTAGCTGCATTTAGGAGTATTGGTGGGAGGAGGTATGCCTGAAGTCCTTGTCATTATGGCACTCAGACTCCATCTTTGGGCCTTGTAGAAGAGGAGGGGGGGAGAGGAAAGTGTATTGCAGAGCACGTTCCATAAGAAATGTGGACTCAAAACATAACAGGTTCTGTAAAACCACCAGTCATGATGCCCGTGTCATATCATCATGGAGAATCTGATCTTGATTCAAACAAGATATTTGTCTGAGGATACTCAGGGGAGGGAGGGGAGTGGCAGATATTTTGTTGGGTTGTGAGTTCCTTTTGTCCCTTCTTTATTTGACCAGAATTTTCCTCTGGCAGAAATATGCCAGTTTCCTCCACTGACTGCCTTTCTCACTCTATCCTAGTTACAACCTCAGACATTATCTCCAAGTCAACTATAATGAACCAGAGAACAACTGAAGAACCTGTCTTCCCCACCCCAACATCCGAGACTGTGCTCACTGTGGCAGCATTTGGTAAGCCAGAAAGAAGGGGGAAAAGGTAGAGCAGGAAGACCCTAAGATTGGGATGATTTTAGTTTTGGGCCCTGGGTTCAAATACCATCCTTAGTGGAATTTGGAGTTAAAGGACCTGAGTTTGAATACTGCCTCTACCACTTATTTCCTGTATGACCTTGGGGGAAAATCACTGCACTGCTCTAGCCCTCAGCTTTCTCAGCTGTCAAGTTAGGTGGTTGGCACAATTCCCAGAGGACTGACCGTATTTTCCACCTCTTGATACATAGGTGATAGACTAAAGGTGCAGAATAAGACACATATTTTCAGACTTGGCTAACATGTGGGTGTTTTATTCAAGCTCACTTGTTACAAAGGAGAATGTTGATTACTTTTTAGTGGGGAAGGCGGGGTGGGGTGGGATGGGGAGATGAAGGGTGGTGATATTAATACAGAAAAGAAATTAGGAAAGGAAGACAGGAAAGAACATCAGTGAAGCTGTTTTTTAAAATTCACAGAAGAGAACACAGAAGGAAGTTTGAAAGGAAGCATACAATCGGGACAGCTTTTGGAAACAATTTGTAGAGTTTTATATGTACTTAAAAAGACAAAAACAAAAAAATCAAGTTGTACATGATGAGATTTGAGGTTTCACATAAAATACTCTTTTCTGTTCTTTGTGCAAAGAAATTTTCAGGTTTGTTGGTATTTTTCAAGTTCAGAATAACAAAAATTGTATAAAATTTAAAGAAAAGAAAAAGACAAAACCAAAATATTTTCTGGTCTCAAAAGAGCTTAGGGTCTACAGGGTGTTCACTGGGAAACATCTTTTGTGTCAAAATAAAAAATATCAGAAACATTTTTGGTATTAATTAAATTTTTTAAAATGAGGTGGTTGAACTAGATGGTTTCTAAAGGCCTTTCCAGCTCTAAATCTACAATAATATTAAATGATATAGGGGCAGCTAGGTGGTGCAGCGGATTGAGCACCAGCCCTAGATTCAGGAGGACCTGAGTTCAAATGTGACCTCAGACCCATAATACTTATTAGTTGTATGACCCTGGGCAAGGCACTTAACCCCATTGCCTAATCCAAAAAAACCCCCCAAAACTATTACATGATATGAACCTTTTCCTACCTAAGGTTTTAGCTGAATTCATGGAAAGGTTACTGTTTTTGGTTTGGGGTTGTTTTTTTGTTTGGTTGGTTTTTTTTTTTTTTTTTTGGCAGGGGAAAGAAGTAGGTTCCTTGACTATATCCTGAATTTCACTTTATGGCTCTTGCTCTCTCTTTTTCTCTTTCTATCCCTCTCTTTCTCACTCTCCTTCTCTTCCTCTGTCTATCCCTCTCTATTTCTCTTTCTTGTTCTCTACATACATATATACGTACCCATAGGTATATGTATAAGATTTTTTTAAACATAAGAATGGACTGCAGTAGAGTCTGAGGGATGCTGACTAGGGATCAGGAACTCTAGGGATTCAGTGGTCCAGGCGGCTGACCATGTAGCACTTGGCAAAGAGTGGGACTTGAGACTCTGTAAAAATTGTACCTGATTGTTTTCTTCTCCCCCTTTTCTCTTCAGGAGTTATCACCTTCATAATCATTCTGGTGGTTGTAGTGATTATCCTGGTCAGCGTGGTCAGCCTGAGGTTCAAGTGTCAGAAAAATAAAGAATCAGAAGGTAAACTCTTGGAATTTCTTAGTCCCTCTCTCTGCTTGATGCTTAGGAGTTGGACTATTAGTATTGGTTTAGTGACGCTTTAGAATCAAGGGGAGGCTTAGGACAAGGGCTCCACTGTGCTAATTCCCCACTCAGTAGAAAGAGGCTACATAAAAGTTTGAGGGAAATGATGATAAAATCACCAAAGAGTTTAGATCACTTTTTCATATGACTATAAACTGTTTTGATTTCTTCATTGGAAAACTGCCTGTTCATATCCTTTGACCATTTATCAATTGGGGAATGACTCATATTCTAATAGATTTTATAAAGTTCTTTATATATTTGATATATGAGACCTTTATCTGAGAAACTGTCTATAAATTCCCCCCCCCCCCATTTTCTGCTTTCCTTCTGATCTTGGCTATATTTGTTTTATTTGTACAAAACCTTTTAAATTTCATGTAATCAAAATTATGTTATACCTAACTTTGCTCTCTATCTCTAGTTTATTCATAAATTGTTTGCCTATCCATAAAGCTGATTAGTAATATGTTCTATGTTCTTAAATTTTTCAAATGGGAGCTAGGGGTCTGAGTTTGGCTGGACTTATCAGACTGGTAGAACTTTAAGCATGGGTTCTTAACCTGGGGTCCATAAACTTGTGGTATTTGTTTGTTTATTTTTAAATATTTTGACAATTGTATTTCAATATAACTGATTTCCTTGGCAATCCTAGGTATTTTATTTTATATATTTCAAAACACTATTCTGAGGAATACATAGCTTTACCAGACTGCTGAAGGTGTCCTGAACACCCACAAAGTTTAAGAATCTCTGCTTTAGAGGGAAGGTGTAAATAAACAAAAAGAAAGCCCTGATGAAGTCACTAAATTTGGCTTGATTGGCCTGGGTTGAGCTTGGTGCTCAAACACCCCCACCCCCACCACCCCCACCCCCACCTCAAACTGATACCTTTATTTCCTCACAGACCCACAGAAGCCAGACAGCTCTGGAATGTCTGAAAGGTATGAACATCAAGGGGATGTCAAATTACCCCCACTTAGAGCCATGAGAAGAAATGTTTTTCCAGGAATGCTCAGGGAACTGTCTGACAGGGAGGGGTAAGGGTGGGACTCATGGGAGGGAAGTGAGTGAAACTCTGGGATTGACAACAGTGGGGTACCACCAGGAAGAGCTGCAGGAGGTGGGGTGGGAAGGAAATACTAGCCTCTCCCTAAGCCCTTAGGGCAAAGCCCAGGTTTGACCTGAACTAATTAACTAACTATGACTAGTCCCCACCCTAAGCTTTCAGGTTATCAACTAACTTGGAATCCAATATACAGAGAACATTTGATATTGACCACAGCTGAGGCTTTGGCAGAGACAGGGAGGTGGTGAGGTCCCTCGGGAGGATGCATGGCCCCTAACTTTCCTGTCTCAGGGCTGAGCCATGGCAGTCTTTTCATGAATTGACATAGGGACTTGGATTCTGGACAAGCAACATTCCACCCATCAGTCACGGAGTCCAAGGTTTAACAGTCATAGCTCCACAGTCCTAATGTCCCCTTCCCCCATGTGTCTTTCCTACTGTCCCCTTTTTATAATGGAAACTTTTCTCCTTCTTCCTGTTTCCCAGCAGCTCCACAGCCAATAGAGAGAAGGACACCAGCATCACCCTCATCTCCATGAAGAATATTAATTCAAATAATAACAAGGGCTACTTCACAGAAGAGAAGGTTTGGTTTTTTCAGCATCTTCTTTCTCTTCCCCTGAGTCATCCCATCCGTCCACTGCTGCTGGGCAGGAAGGCCCCTCCTGTAGCTACAATAGGGCTCTTTTCAGTTCCTAAGCATTATGCAGGGAAGAAACATTTTGAAAAACATGGGTATTATTTTTTATGAAGTTCCCACTTATCCCCAGTACAAACTTACCTTCACCTGAATATCATTTTTTTGCAGGTTTTATAAAGTTGACCTTGAGTGACAAGGACCCAGGAAGCAGCTAATCTATGACTGTGATGGTGGATTGTTGGAGTGATATGGGAGGGAGGCCAAGGCATGATATATTCTGTACAAATTATTTCATTTCAAATCCACACTTGAAGCCCAGAAGACACAAGCCTTGGTTTAGATTTGAGAGCATTATCTCCCAATTTGAACATAAACAATAACCCTAGAAACACAGCCTATTCCTCCCACTTCCCTGGGATCACAGAGAAGAGACATCTATAGGGCAGGGGCAAATAGGCCTTGTGTTGGGAGTGGGGGATATTTGTATTTTTCATTTTTAATATAATTAAAATTATTTTTGGTCTGCAGCATGATTTCTTTCAGGACCTGTGCTTGCAATCACAGTTGCTTTAGAGAATGTGAGATCAGAGAGTCCCAGGTAGGTCAGGGCCTCCTTCCCAAGACAAGGTGTGCACCACTGGGCCAACATAAATTGAGGACACTCTGAAATCAATCAACAAACATCTCTAGGGCTAATAGAACAAGCCCAGGCACTTCTAGCTATGTTCCAGTTTATTGTTCTGTAAAACTAGAATGAGGCAACTGACCCATCCCCTTAGTTTTGAAGGCAAAGTAGCATTGGCAGACGAACTATAATAATGCATGTTATGTACTTTGCGACCATAAAGGTAAACTATTATTATATGAATAATAATCTAAACAAAAAATAATAGCATTGCCCTTTAGAAAGGAGGTCAATGAAAGCAGTTAACCAGAGCAAAGTATTGTGTTAATTAAGAGAGTTTTAACTGAATCTATAGTAGATAATATAAAAACAGTTGTGTACTTCCTATTATGCCCTAGGGTGGATGTACTGGTCTCCCTGATCCCAGTTGGAGAAAAATCAAGAAGCATTTCCACACCAGAGGGAGGGAAAATAATGACATTAAGGCTGTGTCACCGCATAGACCGACAACACATTCACTTTATGGGGTCAGTGTCAGGTTCCTGTCAGGTCAGTGAGGTTCACGTCATTACCAAACACTTTTCCCCAGCTGCTGAGGGGTCATGGAAATTTTAAGAGCATGTAGTATTGGACTGGAATTGGAAACTGTTTGCTCCAGGAAGCCTGCCTGGACATTTGAGGAATCACTAGCATAATTCTCTGTATATACATACACACACATGTACAAATATTTATTTATGTATGTATATACATATATGTATATGTGTATATATACATACATGCACATACACACATATATATATACACTAAGCTTATTTAATATTTATGAGCACATACTATGAGGGGAGTAGCATTCAGAACATATATTCAAGGGCTCCACGATATGGCCCCAACTTTCCTTTCTAGACTTATCTCCCATGTATGTAACTCATATTAAAACAAGACTGGCCCACTTTTTGATTCTTAAATATATCACATAATTTCCCTCCTTTTTACTTTTCTTTGTACTGTTCCCTCCACCTGGAATCATATTCCCCCCTCCCCTTAATCATCATCTGTCAAAAATTCTACATATCATTCAGGGTTCACATCAGATGTCATTTCACCTCTGTCACGAAGCCTTTCCTGATCCAAACAAGTAGATGTAATGTCTCCCTCTGATTACATGGCACTTTGTCCCTCTCTTATAACCCATCATATTCTGTAATATAGTATAATATAGTAATTTGTATACTTTTCTTATCCTCTTACTAGGTGGCAAGGGCCCTGAGGGTTGAGTCTGTGTCATATTTATTTATACGTCCCCACCAGTGCCTGGCACATAGCTGATGTTCAAGAAATATTTACTGACCTGAAGGTAGACAACAAATCCTGCTGTGTTAAAGTGTTACCTTGTTCTAGTCCCTCTGACCACCCTCTCCCTGACCCTGATTTCCAGTCAGATAGTTTATAAGTAGCCAGTATAAATGGCAATAGCAGGAAATGAGATTGCAAAGGGGAACCTAGAAGTCATGTACAAATCATCTTGAAGATCAGAGGAGCATAATTTACCAATTGTATCATATATTAACCAAAAATCACATCCTGATTGTATGCGTTGAATCAGGAGAAGCCATCTAGGCTTTGCTGTCAGGCAGGGCCTTTTGGTCCTATGATATGCAAATTCCAGACAAATTCTAGACTTCCACAGTAAAGACCAGCAGATCATCAAATGGCGCTGATAATTTTGAGACGATATGGATATGTTAGCTTTAAAGTTTTACTAACAACTTTGAAATGACTTGGATTTGGAAATGATTAATCTAACTGAGATCCAAATAGTTAATGAACTAATCCCAAGATCATACAGATAAAAGTTAGTCTGGTCTCCCAAAACACCCTATAAAAATGAGACCTCAAGCTCCTGCACCACAAGTAGTTTTCTATCTCCATCGGGTTCATGCTGCCTAGTGCTCCCAATGCTGACCGTGGTTACATGAATGATGCTCTCTGCCTCTCCCCGTCTCCATCCTCGTCCTTAACAACTTGCTTCCCTTCACCAGCCCACCCTTTGTCCCCACACCATCTGCCTCTGTACCCCTTTCACAACTTGTCTCTATTTTCTGTGCTGTTTTACAGCTCCATTTTCTGCTGCTATTGTGGTCTTTCCTCGCTAGTACCCCAAGAACTGGGTGTGCCTGCTGCCATTTCACAATTTCATAAATTAATTACCAATTCACCTACCCTCTAGGAACTTCTATTCTCAGACATCAAAGTTTTTTTCTTTTTATATTTAGACTTTAAAGACTAATATGACTATCTTTAATGCAATAACAAGGAGAAGCAAAGGCTGACAAAAAGTCCTTTCCCCTTTGCTTAATTTATGAGTATAAGATGAATCATTTTCATGGTATCTTAGTGCTAAAAGGGATACTGGTGATCATCTAGTCCAACTTTCTCAGTTTTACAGATAGAGAAACTGGGGCCCAAAGAGAAGTACCTGGCCTAAGGCCACACAGCTAGTTAGGAACAACACTAGGGATTGAAGTGCAGGACTTTGACTTAGTAAAGTGCCTTTTCAAGTACATCACATCTCTTATTTTCACCCAGACTTCCGTCCCTGGAGATCTAAGACCTGGATGCTGAACAGGTGAACAAGGTTGGGTAGAAAGAGTCCTAGACTTAAACTGAGTTCTTGTCTCAGCTTTACCATGAATTAGTTGTATCGTGTTGGATAAATATTTGAAACCCTCTAGGTGGGCCTTCATCTGTCCCTATATAATGTGAGAAAAATCATCCCTGCCCCTGCCCTGCATCATGGGGATGCTTTAGAGATAAAACACAATAATGGATGTTGAAATATCTGGGAAGTAGCATTAAAAGTGTTAGTGAAATGGAAGGTACATAGCATTTTATTTTTAGAATTCAGATCACTCTGGTGTAAATCTCACAACAGTAAGGCTTTGTTGCTACATTACAAAATAACAGCTTATTATTGGGATAGAAATATTCTGGTGAGGGAAAACTAGGTGGCACAGTGGATAGAGCACTGGCCCTGGAGTCAGGAGGACCTGAGCTCAAATCCGACCTTAGACACATAACAAACACTAGCTGTGTGACTCTGGGCAGGGCACTTAACCCCAATTGCCTCACCAAAAAAAAAAAAATAATAATAATGAAATAAAAATATTCTAGTGATGTGGCAAGCGATAGGATGAGGAGTTGTTAACCTAGTGTCTGTGAACTTGGTTTTTTTTTAATATTTTGATAATTGTATTTCAGTATATTTAGCTTTCTTTATAACCCTATACATTTTATTTTATGCATTTAAAAAGCATTATTCTGAGGTGCCCATAGGCTTCACCACCCTGCCAAAGCAGGGTCCATGACACAAAACAATTAAAGACTCCTGATTCAGAAGTACCAGCTAGTTTATTGTCACTAAAAGACACTGCTGTAGTTTGACTATAAATTATTACTGTGGTCAGTTGCTTTCTGCACAGTGTTAACAAGGGTGGCTTTTTCTTTAGCCTCTTTGTCTTTAAACTCTCTGAAGCTTCTGAGATTGTGGATTTCTCCCCTTTTCCCCCAACCAGAGAGGTTTTCTGCTCCCTTGGTTTTCCTGTCTTTGTTTTCCTCCTATTGGTCTGCTCCTTCCTAGTCTCTTTTAATGGTTTATCATCTATCTCTCACCTCCTAAGTGCAGGAGTCCGTCCTCCAGGGCTCTGTCCTGGGCCCTCTTCTTTCCCTCTACACTCTCTGGCTCCCATTTCATCTGCTTCCATGGATTCGATTATTATCTCTATGCAGATGATGTCCCAATCTAGAAATCCAGTTTTAATCTCTTTCCTGAACACCATCCAGTCTCATGTCATTAATTGCCTGCAGGACGTGTCATCCTCAATATCCTCTAGGCATCTCAAACTCAGTATGTTCAAAACAGAACAGATCGTCCTCCCCTCGCAACCTATTCCTCCTCCAAATTTCTTTATTTCTGATGAGGATACCATCATCCTTTCAATCAGTTATCCTTAATTCTTACCTCTCCCTCACCTTCCATATCCTGTTGTTGTCGTTCACTCATTTTTTTCAGTTGTGTCCGACTTTGGGACCCCATTTGGGGTTTTCTTGGCAAAGATAAATGGTTTGCCATTTCCTTCTTCAGTTCATTTTTACAGATGAGGAAACTGAGGCAAACAGAGTTAAGTGACTTGCCCAGGGTCACACAGGTACTAAGTGTCTGAGGCCATATCCATTCTGTTGCTAAGCCTTTTCGATTCTACCTCCACAACATTTCTTTTATCTGCCCCTTTCTCTCTGCTTACATTTTTAGCCTGGACTATTTTCATAGCTTACTCATTAGATCCTCTATTTCAAGACTCTTGCTCTATGGAAACTGGCAAAATACTCTTCCAAGACACAGGTCCACCCGCTGCTTAACAATCTTTAGTGCCTCCCCATTGTCTCTATGATAAAAGACAAGTTTCTTAGCCTTGTGTTCAAGACCCTCCCACAATCTAGTTCAACCTACCCTTTTCAGACATTTCCTATTACCTCACTAGCCACACTCTACTTTCCAGCCAAACTGAACTATGGATTCTTTTCTGTATTCAGTTTTTTATTTCTTGCCTCCATACATTAACATAGGTCTCCTGCCCACCCTCCCCTCCCCATATCTGGAATTCACTCCCTCTGTATCTCTGACTCTTAAAATTCTTTGCTTTCTTCAAGGTCAGTTTAAGTATCAACTCTTCTGTGAAGCTTCCCTGATCTCCTCCCCTTCCCTAGCTGTTAATAGTCTTCTTCGAGTTAGCTGGTATTATACTTACTCATATACATATCATATCCCTTAGTAGAATGTACACTCCCTGAGAGTAGGGAGTTGTCAATGTTTTTTAATCCTTATACCCCCAATCCCTACCACAGTGTCTTGTGTCTAGTTAGTGCTGAATGAAGGATGACTGAATTTAATCCTTTTTTTTTTAAATTAAAAAAAATTTTTTTTTAGGCAGTTGGGGTTAAGTGACTTGCCCAGGGTGTCACACAGATAGTAAGTGTCAAGTGTTTGATCTGAGGCTAGATTTGAACCCAGGTCCTCCTGACTCCAGGGCTGGTGCTCTATCCACTGTGCCACCTAGCTGCCCCAGCTGAATTTAGTTCTATTCCATTCTAGTGGGCCATATGATTTCTGTTCTACTGCTACAAACTACCCAGCTAATCTGGACATTTGCCCTGTAGGTCATAAGAGGAGAAAGTATTATCTCTTGATATGAAGGATATTTATTACTCTGTAGCACCTCACCTTCAGCCTTCTCTCAGTGTCCATGTCATAGGACCTCCTTATAATAGGTAATACTGGCTGATAAAAAGCACCCCTTGGATGCAGTCTAAGATAGACTTTTCTATACTGAATCTTGTTTGGACGCAACCTGTTAAGAGTGTGTAGTTCCACTGTACCCATTAAATTCCTCATGCAAATGATAGACCCATCTTTGACAAAAGTTTGTGTTGGGAGCCCATTCAGTTTCCTTAAAACCACATCACTTCCTTGATGTCTAGACAGCAGGATGGTAGATATTTATAAGATGACTTCCTCTCAGCTCTCTCACTCAATGACATAAGCTGTAGGCCCAAGGAAGAGAGCAAACCCAGACTAAATAACAAACTACCAGGACACACACATAGGGCCAGGTGCACTGTACACTATCTACTTGGTGATTTTGATCTGATACTGGTCAGCTTATGCACAACATCAAAGGTAGGATAATATAATATAATAATAATAGCTAACATTTATATAGCACCTACTATGTGCCAGGCACTGTGCTGAGTTACAATCATTTGATCCTCACAACAACCCTGGGAAGTAAATGCTATTATTATTTCCATTTTACTGATTAGGAAGCTGAGACACTGGAAGAGTAGTGATACCTTAAAGAGAAATAATTGGAAGTTTGGAAGTGGGGAGGATTTGGGATAAGGTTAATGAATTTGTTTTTAGATATGTTGAGTTTAAGATGTCTCTGCGACATCCAACAGGCAATCAGTGATACAAGACTGGAGTTCAGGGAATACACTGGGGCTGGATATGTAAATGATCTAGGCGTCATCTGCATAAAGATAATAGTTAAACTGTTGGAAGCTGATGAGTTTACAGAAAGAGAAAGAAAGGAAGAAAGAAAAAAGAAAGAGGAAGGAAAGAAGGAAGGAAGGAAGGAGGAAAGGAAGGAAGGAAGGGGAATGGAGGGTGGGAGAGTACAGAGAGCCTAGGACAGAACTTTTAACCCTTAGTTAAAGGGTACTATGTGGATGATGAGAATGAGGAGACGTCAGACAGGCAGAAGATGAACAAGGGGTGAGAAATGTCACAAAAACCCAGGCAGGAGAGAGTATTCAGGAGAGAATCAACAATGTCAAATTCAGCAGATTAGTAGAGAAGCATCAAAGGTCAAAAAGAATTAATGCACAATAATCTCCCTGGATCTCAGTTTTCTGATCTATAAAATGAGGGTATTTGATATCATGGGTGCAGGAGAGCATAATTCAGTGCTTCAGAATACAGTCTCTTCTCTTCCCTCCTTGTCCCTTAGCATCTACACAGAGATAGGAGCTGAAATATAGGCTCAGTGCTAGAAGGAGGACTAAAGGTTGTCTTATCCAACGGTCTCATTTTTACACATCAGAAAACTGAAGTTTATATTGGTGACAGATATTGGTGAGAAAAACACTTTGTAACTCAATTCTTCTCCCTGACTCCCAAACTGTGATATTCATGGAGTCTTAAGAGATACCCAAAGAAAGTAGGAACAGAAAGAGTGGGAATTCTTTCTCCTTTCATTCTCATTTGTGCATTGTCCTTCCTTCCCTGGGCTCTTGCTGCTAGAACATACTACCCAATGACTTTAGCTGGGCCCCTAAAAAGACTGTGTGAGCCTAGGTTGAAGTGGGTATTGCTTGGGTTTTATAGGGAGATTCCTGGGATGGAGATGACACTATCTGAATTATGGTAAAGGCCATTCAGCACAAGGTGGAGGTTGCCTCACTCAATGGGGGCGCTTCCTAATGGCCCACCATTTGGACTTGCCCATCCTATTGTTATAGTTCCATTTCATTCCAAGGCCTTATATCTCCTGTAGGGGCCACCAGGTTGCAACACTGATCTGGCAAGACATATTTGGCCAGGAACAACTGAAGAGAAGATGAGGGTAGAAGATAAGATCTTATGTGCATGGCCATTATTTTTATTGTTCTATTTACAAATACCAAATCATGTAAATGTTTTAAATTTTAAAAAAAACTTTCTTAAAACATTTATAAAAATAAAGTTGTTGAAGTTATATGTTTTATAGCACACTGAATAGCCCATGCTAAATGCCAGCTTTCCTGACCTCAAATTCCACTAATACCATCAATTTCTTTGAGTGGCCTGGAGGGGGATGGGATATATATGACCTCAGTGATGCCAAATGAAGGGATATAATCAGTGAGGACCTGGGTTTTGGCAGAAGCTGGATCTATATGAGCTGACACTGACTAAGGACATTCAGAGAACATTGCTTCGTTTTCTTTCGACTGATCTCTTACTGCAGGATGCCCTGTCAGAAGGAAAAGATATGAGCTATTTATTCATTCAACAGTCATTTGTTATGTTATTATTATGTCATTTGACACCTGACTGTGCTAGAAATATAAAGACAAAACTGAAATCATCACTATCTTAAGGAGCTTACGTTATACTGGGGAAAACATGTACATACAAAAGTAAACATAAAATACATATAAATGATGTATATGTTGCCACGTAGGTTATGTGTATGTCCACATGGGTTTGTCTAAACACAGCTCATAGGAATGCATGAATAGATATCTTTGGAGTCTCATCTACTATCCAAAGAAGACTTTGATTCCTGCTTGGAGGGGATCAAGAGATTGGGCCACAAGGCTGGACTGCTTTACTCTGCTCAGAGAGGAGATACTGATTAGAATTATATCTGTCTGCCACCCTAAATATTACTAGTCTAGGGGAAATTAATTTTAGGTTCAAACTGCTTTTCTGGTGTTTATCCTTTAACAAGGGAAGGAGTGCCCCAAGATATATCTGATAGCTTGATTCTTTCTCAACAAATGCTAGTTACACAAAGACTATGGACTAGTGAATAGAGAATAAACTCATTTATCCAAGCAGATAGCAAACAGAAATCAGAGAAATTCTACGGATTGGAATATACCAGATAATACACAGAGTGAATGAATTCTCCCACTGGGAGCGAGCTTAATTGAGAGTCCTCAATCGCAACCAGAGGAAAAATTTCCAAAGTTACTAGTGCAGCAAAATTTTGGGACATGTCAAAGCCCTGATTTCTCTACATGTTGGCTTCTTCCCAAAGTCTTTTTTTCTCTCCAGGGCTTCTTCATGAAGAAAGCCTGAACTGTGTGTGCTCTCTCTCAAAACTAGAATAAAGAAAAATCTCTCTTCTCCCAAGCTGTTGCCAACTCTTCCTCCTCAGGCAGTCCTGAAGTGTCAGGCACTCGTTTCTCTACCAATGAGGAAAATCTTAGGCAAATGCACTACGTTTGAACCCTGGGCTACATTAAAAAAATTGTTTCTGAGTTACATTTACAAAGATACTGAGTAGTTTCAAAGAGGGTAGAGGGCCCTAGTAATTGGAAAAAGGATCAGAATCAGAGGTTTAAAGTCAGAATGCACCTTACAGGTCCTTTGGTCCAGACCCTTCATTTTACTTGAGAGGTCCCGAAGGGTTAAGTGAATTGTCCAAGGTCACACAAATAGTAAGTAGCAATGCCAAGGGATAGACTTCCTGTTAGAGATGGCACTTCAGCTCAATTTTGAAGGAAGCTAGGGGTTCAACAAGGTGAAAATGAAGAGGGAATACATTTCAGGGCTGTGCAAGGAAACAAAGACCTTTGAGCCAAAGAGTCTGCAAAATAGGGTATAGGGAGGGCATAGGTGGGACAGGAGCAGTTGGCTCTGAATAAAAGGAATCAACTCTAGGCCTCTTCTCTATTCTACTGAATAGTCTACAGGTTTTCTTGGGGTTCTAGGCTTTGGAGCTTTTTGTAAAAGGTTTTTTCTATGTGTGGAAAACTGGGGTGTGTGAGCAACTTTCCTAGTCTTCCTCATACTTTTCCCTTCTCAGCTCCCAGGAGCTGCATCTGGCCCAAATGGACATGTGGTCATTTCAGTTCAAACCCCATTAGGATCTGTACAGCTCTGTAAAAGCACGTGGTATAGTGTTAGACCTGGAATTAGAAAGATCTAGGTTTTACTTACTAGCTAACCTCTCTGTGCTTCAGGTTCCTCATCTGTAAAATGGGAATAATGATACCTAGAATATCAATTTATAGACTGCCTGGAGACTCAAATATGAAAATGTATGTAAAGCTTTATAGAAATATCAGGAATTGGGATGATGTCACTATGGTTTACTGTTGCAAGTCCACAAAATGCGTCACGGAGGCAATCGATTAATGAAAATTTCCTTTCGTGGTCCCTGCCCATCCCTTCTTTCCTGCATCTTTCAGCTGCCTTGCCTTCACCCCAAGCATCCCTCTCCCTTATCCTTTAATCTTTACAATTACATACTGAGACAACCCCACGCGCAGGGTGCGCTGGGAACTATAGTCCAGCGTAAGCACGCCGGCTGGTGTGTCAGCGATGGTCGGGACTACTATTCCCGGCGACCCCCGCGAGGCCCTATTTCCTTTCCTTTTCCTCCCCACTTCCGTCTTCCCCCTCACCGCCCCCTCCCTCCGCGGCCCTCCTCTCCCCTCCCCCCCCCGCATCCTCCTCCGCGCACCACTGCGGCCTAGCGGTGCAGCTGAGAGGAGCCGACATGAAGGCGACTCTGGGGAGCAGGGACCACTGGACCGAAGGTACCAGGACAGGGGGCTAGGGCCTCAGGTTTGGGGGAGATCAGAGATGGGGGGGGCAGCGCGGAGGCAAGGGGCTTGGGCTGCCCCGGGGAGCGCCGGCGTTGACGGGTCACTCCGGGAGCAGGTTCAGGCCCGATGCGGGGCAGGAAGCATCCTTTTCTCGCTGGCTCTTTCCTAGGGCCAGCTTCCTACGCCCTGCCCTACCTGGAGGTAGGACCGGGGAGGGGACTGCTCTGCCCCTCCCCCTCACTTTGGGGAGGGCCCCCCACTGCCCCCGCCCCCCCGGGGGGGTCACCTCCGCGCGCATGCGTACCCGAAACCGGCCCCTGACTTTAAAGTGCCCACGTTGCACAAACCCTGAGGTGCAGGTTCATTCAGTGCTTGCTGAGGGTTCGGTTCAGCTCCCACTATACAAGGGGCACAGGGCTGGACTGTGGCATGCCAGGGCCTGGGGTCACCTTGCTTTAGCCTTAAGCTTTAGGTAGAGGAGGGAGGGAGGGAGTGTGTGTGTGTGTGTCTATGTTGAAGGAGGTGGGCAGTCCTTCATAGATTATCTTCTTAGCAGTGTCAGCTTCGAACACGGATAACTGGACAGCAACAAAAGGAAGCAATCAGTCATCTGTCTCTGCAAATGTAGGCATTCATTTTTCCTAAAGTCAGGGGGCTGGCAGGGACCAGAGCCCAAGATTCCTTTTGGTTCTACATCTAGACTGTTTGCTGACTGACTATTGTAAAAGTAATTGATATATGAAGATAATCGATATACCCAGTACCCTGTGTGTTTCTAGCATGTGTAAGCCCTTATTAATTTCCTCCCGTGTTTTCTGTGTTATTTTCCTAGGGAAGGTGTTTATTCAGCTTTGGTCTGGACATTGAAAAGACAATATAAAGTCCATAGCATGGCCCCCACACTCACCTGCTCATGAATGATGCGGCTATGATTCCTGTCTGCTCCCACAAAGAGCTCCTGAGTCAGATAGGAGAGGCTGATTTTCAGGGACAGTACTTGGCCTAACGGAGGTGCTGTTGCTTTGCAGCATACATTGATGCATTTAGAAGAAATAAATATCCAGCTGACGAAACTCCTGACTTCTGTGGATGCCATAACTGTATGAATTCTAAGAAGGAAAAGAAGTTTGAGAATGAGAGAAGTCAGGCTCAGCCTGGAGAGGCTAGCATGACCTATACAGAAGAACAGTTACTTGGGGTGCAGAGGTAATCCTGTTATATCGTCCTAGGGAATTTGCACTTTCTTCTTTACATTAATAAAGCACGTAACCTACGTGTGACTAAACAAAGATGGAGTAAACCTTGAGCATGGTGCAGTAGATTGGAATGATAGGACTATAGTTGTAGAACTATAAGGGACATTAGAGGCTATCTGTCCAACCCCGTCATTTTGCAGATGAGAAAACTGAGGCACAGGGAAAGTTAGATGACTTGCTTAGAGTCTCGCAAGTACTGGGCATCCGAGTAAGGATTTGAACCCCGGTCTTCTTAACTCCAGAGCCATACTCATTCTATTATATCCACTGCCTTCCTCTCCTGAGTTGCTTCATATATACTCTATACTTAAGAAATATCACAGAAGAATGGGACAGACACATCAAATTTAAAAAATCAAGGTTCTGATCTCAGCTCTGCTGTGTAATCTTGGGCAGGTCATTTTATTTTTTCCAATTTATATGAAAAGACAGTTTTAAGTATTCATTTTTACAAAATTTTGAGTTCCAAATTTTTCTCCCTCCCTTCCCCTCTTCCTAAGATGGTAAGCAATTTGATATAGGTTATATATGTAAAACATTTCCATGTTAGTCATATTGTGAAAGAAGAAATAGACCAAAAGGGAAAAAACCACAATAGAAATAAAGCGAAAAATAGTATGCTTTGATCTGCATTCAGAGTCCATCGGTTCTTTTTCTGGATAGTGGATAGCATTTTCCATCACAAGTTCCTTGGAATCACTTTAGCTCTTTGGGCCTCTGGTTCCTCAGTTGTGAAATTACCCCTTTGTATTAGATGCATTCATTTAGACATTTTTAAAACTTCTTTTACATGCAAGACACCATGTCAGATGCTGGGAATACAAAGATAAATCTAGCACAGACTGTACCCTCAGGGAATGCACAATCTAAAGGTGGAAGAGATAACACAAATAACTGACACAAGGGAGAACCATTTAGAAAAATAAAAAGGAGTGGACTAGGGAAAGTACTACAAAAAACTTAGGGACAGATCATTTTTCTAGAGCATGGTATGTCAAGGAAAGCTCTTTGGTGGAGCTGGCACCTAGGTTGGGTTTTAAAGGAGTAAATGGACTTCAACAGGTACAAATGAAAAGGAGGCATAGGAGAAGACTTGAGCAGAGGCATAGATGTGGACAAGATTAGGGTGAAGAGTAGTCCATTTTGTCTAGAACTTGCAATATGGGAAGGGCACTAATGTGGAATAAGATTTTAAAGGTAAGTTGTCAGATTTTGGAAGACTTTGAGTTTTGTAATAGATGTGGTGGGGAAGGAGATGATAGTCAAGATAAATAAGAAGGTAGTGTTTCAGCAGTAAGTTGAGGGGTAAATAGCATAAATTTGTAGTGGACCTAGCCCAATTTTACAGTTTCATGACCAAAGAGTTTAGAACTAGAAAAAGACCTTAGAGATCATCCTTCTGGTCCAGGACTTCTTAACCTGGAGTCTGTGAACTTTTTTTTTAAGTATTTTGGTAACTCTATTTCAATATAATTGGTTTCTGTTGTAATCTCCTATGTATTTTATTTTATACATTTAAAGCATTATTCTGAGATGAGTCCATTGACTCCACTAGGCTGACAAAAGGGTCTATAACAGAAAAAAAGATTAAGAACCCCTGATCTAGTTCAATTATTTCCTTTTACAGATAAAGAAACTGAAGCCCAGAGAGGGTAAATGACTTACCTATGGTCACACAGGTAATAAATAGCAAAATTGGGGTTTGAACTCATTTTCTCTGATTCCAGATCCATTGTGCTTCATACTTATACCACAGTAGGACCAGAAGAGGCAGGTTTTGGGTGTTATCTAGGATTGAGGTTTAGCAAGATAAAAAATAGTGGAACTGTCAAGGTAGCAAGGGATTCCGGAGTGAAGGTGAGGACATTATTAAAATAACTGATCATAGTGTAGATGAGACTTGGTAAGGAGAAAAATAAGGCCAGAACAGTGTTGATTACTGAGAAGACAGATAATACCTAAAGAAGGAATGGATAAAGCAAAGAAAGGAAACTATAGATCAATATCATTAGAAAATATTGATTCTAAAAATTTTAAACAAAATCCTGGCAAAAAAAGGTTTCAGCATTATATACAAAAAAATTATTCACTATAATCAAGTTGAATCTATACAAGGAATGCAAAGATGGTTTGATGGTAGGAAAACAATCATTTTAAAAAACAAAAACATTCAAAATCATGTGATTATATCAAATAATGTAGAAAAAGACTTTGACAAAATGTAACACTCATTTATAGTAAAAACCCTACCAAGTCCAGCATGGAAAGGCTATATTTTGGTAAGAAAAAGCATATATGTATAAAAAGCTAGCTTTCCTTGCAATGGGTAAATACAACTTTTCCAATCCAGACGTAAAAGGTGAGCCTTTTTTTTTTTTACTGCTGTTATTTAACATAGCTCCAGAAATGCTAGTAATGACAATGAGATAGGAGAAATTAAAAGCATAAACAGCAACAAAGAAGAAATGATTTTCTGTATTTGTTGATGACATGATAGTTTACTTAGAAAATCCTAAAGAGTTACCAAAGAAACTAATTGAGACAGTAATAGATTGAGTAGAATACCAGTATACAAAATAAAACCATAAATATCAATAGCATTTCTACATAGTAGTATTAAAATCCAGGAGGAAATAATAAAAAGGGGAACTCCACTTAAAATAATTACAAAGTGCATGGAATATCTGTGGTTACTAAGGCATTCAAGTGTGGCATAGATACTATTACAAAATACTCCTTAAAGAAATAAAGTGACTAAAATAACCAGAAGAACAAGCAGTGCATGTGGCTATGCTGGGCTATGAATTAATGTAATATTAATCAGTCTACTAAAGATATACTATATATTGCTAAACAAAATAATGTTTCATTTAAAGAAGCAAAAGGTTTAGAATCTAAAGGAAGATAATGAAAAAAGGTAGGAATGAAGGGAAAGTAGAAAAAAATCAAGGAACCAAAGGTTGTGATGAGGACACAGATATGGGAGGAATAAATGAGTAGGAGAGACTGAAGGACAGATGATCATAATAATAGGGGAATTTCTTTTATTATTATAGAATTCATTATTTTGGAGGCAGAGTAGTTTTGAGTGATGATAAGGCCCAAGATATGACCTTAAGTGTTTATAGAATATGTTTGGGGTGTGCATACCTGAGGTTGACTTAGGTAAAATGGAGGTGGAAGTCATAGGGACTGAAGATATCAAGAAACTATGAGGGCAGAAAGGAGATTCATCATTGTAGATATGGAAGTTTCTGAGAATCATGCCAAGGGAAGAATAGAGAAGACTGAGCCAAGTGCCACAGTGATAGGAAAAGGTGGCAAAGTGACAAGGAGGTGGTAGGTGACTGTCACTAGGTTCAGGGGAGAGTGGTCTGATCAACTGTCATCCCTTCAGAGCAAATGTTGAATGATGGTGGGAGAGAAGGGAGTAATTCTTGACTTCCAGACCTTGTGAGAATAGGGAATGGGGAGAGAGGCAGCCTGCATCAGAGAGGGTAATGTGAGATGTGGAGCCTTCAGGGGAATATCAGTTTTCACTTGATACAAGTAAGTAGAGTGGCTGGAAGAGGAAGAAGTCCAAGATGAAGGAGAGTTTGAGGAACTCCAGAGGAGAAGGTAAAAGGGTTAGGCAGGAGAAGGCAAGGGCTTAAATGGAAGGGGTAGGGCAAACAAGAAGGGTGAAAGCTTAGGGGAGATGTAGTAGCAGGACAGGGTTTGTAATGGAATGGTGATACAGATTTGGAGAGGACCTGCATTTGAATCCTAGTCCTGCCACTTTGGGTAAGTTGTTTAACCTCTCTGGTATGTAAGTTTCCTCATCTTTAAAATGAGAGGTGTGGACTAGAGGATGACCAAGCACCCTTTCAACTAAAAATCTATGATCTCTTATCCTATGGAAATTGGAAAGTGAGCTGTCAGGAGCATGTTGGCCACAGGGAAAAGGGGAGGAGAGAGTGGGTTAAGATGTTTTGGGTTTTTTTTTTTGCTCTATTTTTTTGTTTTCAGCTAACAAGCATTTATTTTCTTTTCTCTCCCATCTCCCCTGCATTATGAAAAAAAGGAAAAAGAAAACCTTTGTAACAAATATGCATAGCCAAGCAAAACAAATTCACACATTGACCATGTCCAAAAGTGTTATGTTAGAGACATTTACTACAAGAAAAGCATGTAGAGTTACATAGCTCTGATGTTCCATTTAGAATGTTGATGGATGGAATGAGCTTTCACAATCTCATTCCCCACAAGTGAAGATCTCTCTTTATTTTTCTGGGTGGTCAGATTGCAGGGGCTCCATGGATGAGACTGGAGCTGGGAGGGATGGAGGTGGATGGTAGCTTCTGTACCCTAGGTGAAGACCTCTGAAGGTTCCTTCCATTTCTAGCATTTTTGAGTCTTGACTCCACCTCTGTAAAATGGAGATTTTGTACCACCAGTGGTATAAAGCAGACAAAATAAACCATGTGAAAGCATCTTGAAAGGTGTAACTACTTTTGACATTATTTTTTAGGATAAAGAAATGCAGAAGTTACTATGAAATTCTGGGAGTTGACAGAGATGCCAGTGATGAGGATCTCAAGAAAGCTTACAGAAAACTGGCCCTGAAATTTCACCCTGATAAGAACTGTGCACCTGGGGCCACAGAAGCTTTTAAAGGTATCACAGCTGAAATCATGTTTGAGTTCTCCTTCAGTAGACTCCTTCAAGTCTTGTCATAGCATTTTGTTCAGTCAGAAGTATAACTTTTATTTTATCAGGGGACTATTGTATACAATTGTTTTAAATAGTGGGTTTATTTAAATACCCACCTTGTCCCATGATACTTTTGAATAAACGTTGGTTTAGGTAAGTCTTCAGGATAAGGTCACTTTCAACAATAATATAAACTGTTAATCTAAGTTTCCAAATCTTAACTTTTGCCGCTTAATAGCCGTGTTCCCTAGGTCAAGGAAGTCACTACCCCACTCTGAGCTTCAGTTTCCTCATCTGTAAAATGAAGTCCTTTCACTAAAAATCAGATGTTCTTGACCAAAGGTTCAAAGATCTCTCAGTTACTGAATCTATTGATCTTTTCTCAATTTTCAATATCTTTGAGCTTTCTGCAGCATTTTATACCATTGACCCCACCCTTTCTTTCTGGATACTTTTCTCCTTCTTTGGCTTCTATGACATTGTTCTCTCTTGATTCTCCTTCCTGTCTGATTGCTCCTTATCTGTCACTTTAACTAGTTCCTCCTCTTCCATCCCCTGAGGTGGTGATTGTCTTGGGCTCTGTCCTAGGTATTCTTCTCTTTTTTCTCTCTGGTGATCTTATTCACACTCACAGGTTCAGTTTTTTGCCTCTGTGCTGATGACTTTCACATGTTTCTATCCAGCCCCTGCGCTCCAATCCCACATATCCACCTCTCTGCTGGGAATCTCACTTGGATGCCCCATCAGTATCTGAAACTCAGTATGTCCAAAACTCAATTCACAATCTTCTCCCCTAAATCTAGCCCTCCGCCAAACTTCCTATTTCCATTGATTTTTCCCTGTCCCTCACTCCTCATACCCAATCAGATTCTCCCTCCAAGGCATGTCTAGAATCAGTTCCCTTTTCTACATTTATACAGCCACCTCCCCAAGTGGAGGCTCTCATCATCTCTCCAACTCTCAAAACAACTTTCCAAATAGTCTTCCTGCTTCCACTCTCTTCTCTCTCCAGTCTGCCCTCCATACAACAACCAAAATGATCTTCCTAAAGCCTAAGTCTGACTGTGTCACTACTACTCCAAGACCCTCAGAGCCTCCCCAGATCGGCATTAGAAGGCTTTGTAGTCTGGCTATAGCTTATGTTTATAGCTTTATAATCCACTCGTATGTTCCAGTCAAAAAAAAATAATGTACTTATTCTCTCTGCCTCTGCCTCTGCACAGGCAGTCCCCTTTGCCTGGGATGGACTCCCTCACCTCCACCCCTTAGCAACACTGGAGCTTCCTTCATGGATCAACTGCTGTGCCATTCCCTACGTCAGTGGTTCTCAGAGCGTGGTCTAGGGACCCTTAGGGGTCCCTAAGTCCTTGTCGGGGGTCCGCAAGGTCAAAACCATTTGCCTAATGATACAAAGATATTTTAATTTCTAATATAAACATTGATAGATACAGCCCACATAAACAAAAGCACTTTAGGGGGTCCTCAGTAATTTTTAAGAGTGCAAAGGGGTACTGAGACCAAAAAGAATAAGAACTGCTATCCTACAGTAAGACTTTCCTTAGTTAATGCTTTCTCCTTCCTTCTGAAATTACTACACATGCACTTACTTGTTTACCTATCATTTCCCTCCAGCAGAATGTAAGTTCCTTGAGAAGAGGGAGTGCTTTATATTTTGTCTTTATATCCCTTGGATCTAGCCCCAAGCTTTGTAGCTAGTAGTATTTAGTAAATGCTTATTGGATTGATGATGCCACTATCTTTCTACTCCTTCAGGTTTATAACCTCTGTAATATTTGATTCTTCCCTCTTTCTCTCTCACCTCCCACTTTGTCAGTTACCATGTCTTGTCAATTCTGTTTTCACAATTTACTAGCTGACATTTTTATGGTGTTTTAAGGTTTTCAGGTTTTACTTATATTTATTTGATCCTCACAACTATATGGGGTAGGTACTGTAGTTGTTATTATCCCCACTTTACAGATGAGAAAATAGTCTGAGAGGTTAAATGATTTGCCCATAGTCAGACATTCACTAAATATTAGAGGTGGGTTTTGAATCTATATCTTCCCAACTCTAAACAGTGATAGAACACTGATTCTTTTTGTCTTTTGTATATGTTCTTTACACTTGATTCACTTCTCTAGTACAAGTCTTTATCACCTCTAGCCCATAATATTTTTAATAGCCTTGTCTACCCTATAATATTTTAATAGCCTGGTCTTCCTCCACTCTCACACCTTTCTAATCTGCCCCTCACATAACTACTAAAATAATCTTCCCTGTTCAGAAACCTTCAGTGGCTCCCTATTGCCTCTGGGATGAAATATAAATGCCTTAGCTAGGTCTTTAATGCCCTCTGCTGTCTGGTTCTCACCTACGTTCCCAGTCTTAGTTTGTATCACTTCCCTTTGTATGCTGCATTCCAGCTACACTGGAATATGAGCTGTTTCTCAAACTTCTATCATTCCCACCATTGTGAATTTTCATAGACCATCAACTGCCTCCAGTGCTGTCCCTCCTTATTTCCACCTGCTTAGATCTTTATCTTTCTTCATACTCAGGTCAAGTGCCTCTTTCTTCTGTGAAACTTTTCCTGTTACCTCTACCTTCAAGTTTTCTCTCCTTTCTCAAAATTTCCTAGGGTATTTTGTTTGATCTCTCTCCCTTTGATCCTGTCACTCCTTATCTTTCTACAAGTCTTTTCCCAATAGACTGTGAGGTCCTTGAGAGGTAAGGGATTTTATTGGTTTTCATATTTGTGTTCCTGATTGTCTTATACTTAGTAAGATCATAGATTTAGAACTGGAAGGGACCTTAGAACAAATCTAGTCCAACCCTCTCATTTTACAGATGAGGAAACTGAGGATCAAGGAAGTTAAGCAGTTTACCCAAGGTCGTACAAGAAGTGCTTAGTAAATTTTTGTTGAATATGTGTATTGTTAAATTTGTTGAATTTGTTTATTGTTACTATTAACAGTAAGATACTGTGACACTTAAGGAGAATATTTATTTCACTTCAACAAACATTTGTTAAGCATTTACTATATGCTTGACTTATCTTATATCTGATTACCTCAAAGAAGGTAAACTAGGAGATTGCATACATCACAGCAGTTCTGTCCAAAACACCATCTTCCTGACTAGGAGTAATGGCATAGCTACTAAACCATTCCAGTTACATGAACCTCTAAATAAAATGATAGTTAACTACTGTTAACTTTTTTTTTAAAGACTGGATCTCACTATCTCCCCCAGACTGGCAGTGAAGGGGCTCCTCACAGGCCTGATCCTGCTACTGATAGGCACAGGAACTCTGACTCACTCTATTTCTGACCTGGGCTGGTTTGCCTGTCCTTTAGCAGTCCCCAGCTAACACCTTCCCCATCTCCCTGCCTCAACCCCTACCAGTTTCTAGGGACTTCCCATGCTGATGCCAAATTTAGTCCTGACATACAATCTGCACAGCCCACTGCGGTTCAGAACTTTCCCAGTTCCTACCATGCCGGGCCATGTGTTCTTAAATAAGTGTGCCAAGAGCATAAAGAGTGACTACTTGTTAACTTTTCAGAGAGGTTTTAGAGGAGAGTTAAATGCACATAAGATGTGCAATCATGTAAAACATATTTCCATATTAGTCATTTTATATAAGAAGAAACAGAACGAAAGGAAAAAACTGAAAAAAAAATTTAAAAAAAAAATAGGTGCTTCGATCTACATCTCCATCAGTCCACATCAGGATATGGATAGCATTTTTGGAACACTTATAATCACAAATGCTTCTTTTTGGGAGGGGGGGGTAAGGCAATTGGGGTTAAGTGACTTGCCCAGAATCACACAGCTAGTGAGTGTTATGTGTCTGAGGCCTAATTTGAACTCAGGTCCTCCTGACTCCAGGGCCAGTGCTCTATCCACTGTGCCACCTAGCTGCCCTGTACACCACACAAATGCTTCTTACCCCAAAATTACCATCTTGGCTTAACCTTAAATCTGTGTGAAGTTGCCATATAGAAATTGACCTTATTTTCCTAGTTGCTGGGAGTTCTATATACTTACTTATATATAGTATATAAGTATATAAATTACATACTTAAATTCAGTGGAAAGAAAGGATGGATAACTGTAAGCTCTGACATGTTTTTCCCCCTCCCTGTATAGCAATAGGGAATGCCTTTGCTGTTCTCAGCAATCCTGATAAAAGATTACGCTATGATGAATATGGAGATGAACAGGCAACTTTTGCTGCGCCCCAGGCCAGACCCTATACTTATTACCCAGATTTTGAAGCTGACATTACTCCAGAGGAGGTCTTCAATGTGTTCTTTGGAGGACATTTTCCTACAGGTTAGTATTCCAGATATACTATAGACAAGCACATTTTTGAGAACCTGATTAGAGGATCAGTTGTTATGCTTGTAGGATTGTACTAATGGAAAGCTAGAGATAGGGACTAGAGCTATTATTTCGTCAATTAAAGTGAACTTCCAAATGAGGAAACCCCTCTCCCAATATAAATCAGCACCTTCTCTGTAACTTATTTGCCTAGAACAGTGCACGGTTAAGTAATTTGTCTACTGTCACATGCCATGTCAGTGTCACTGTGTCAGGAGTGGGACTTCTGACCAGATCATCCTTGGTCAGAGGCCTTCTCTCCATCCACTATGCCATGATGCCTCTCTCTGGAGGGTTAAAGGTTACAAACGCTGTCCTGGAGCACTGGAGTTTGGAATGTAATACCTAGCTACTAAATGCTGAGGAGGAGAATTGATTGTTATATGTAGCTGCCAAAGTTATAAAATAGGGTTGCCCACAGCCAGTCATTAGTGACAGAGACAAGAACAATGGTTCTTGATTCATAGCCTGAAGGAACATCCATTAAACTATACTGTTTTCCTCAGTATAGTTTTTATATGTTTTTTAAAAATACTTAAATTTGAACCCAGTTCAGAGGCAAGGGAGCTAAGAAGGTTTGGTTTATAGCTACGTCACTTTGATACTCTTCATCTCAGAATCCTGGTTTCTCCAGTGTGTAAAATATGGAAGAATACTTAATTGAGCTTTTCTTAGAAGACTATTGAGAAAAATCATTAGATAATTTCAGTTACATTAAAACTCACCACAAAGGGGATCATAGATAAGGCAGGGAGAGAGGTTTGTTTGCTCTCTATGCTAATTTTTTTTTTTAACCAGGAAATATTCACATGTTTTCAAATGTGACGACTGATGACACGCACCTTTATCGTCGGCGACACCGAAATGAGAGAGTACAGACCCAGAAGGAGGAAGAAGAGGAAAAGCCTCAGGTGACTGGAGAAAGGAGGGTTACTATTTATAAATAATTATGATGAGTCAGTATTTATGGTCTCTAAGAATGTTTTAAAATGTTATACATACTTAGGAAGATGGGAAATACATATAACAGGACCCAGGAGGGTAGAGGCCCCAGTCAGATCTGAACTTTTCCTGTCCTGTGGCTGGGAAAAACTATCTGCTTTTCCACTAATTTCTGTTATTATTCAAAGTTGGTATCTGCCAAGGTAAAAGGCCTCTTCCTGTACTCTTTTATTCCCATCCAGCCACTCCTACACCTTCCCATTCCCTCTCCTCTTTTGCCTTCCTCTTCCATTGTGCCCTCTGGAATTTTTGTTCTATTTATAATAAAATCCCCTTCATCCCAGACCTCTTCCTTTCACACTTTTGCTCTTCCTGTACTCTTGGAAACCTAGCTGCCTTTGGAAGATGCTGCATCCCTGGCCTCCCACTCTGATAACTAGTTGCTTCTTCTTTCATGTCATCCAGCACACTGGGCCAGGAGAAAAAATCAATATAGTCTTTGCTTCATGCTTCCACTTCCAGATCTTCCCTCTGCCACCATCATTCCTCATTATCTCCTCCTTGAGATTTACCCTCTCCATCACCCATTCCATTGTCTTTCTGCTGTAATCCACTGCCTACAGGAGACTGCTGATTTTCTCAGGAAATTCAGAGGTTTAGTTTTCCTCGCTAGCCGAGCCCCTTTTCTCTTACTCAAGGACTTCTTATACTTGTTGAAGTCTCCCCAACATCCTGTCCTCCCAGTCCATCAGTCTTAGCTCCCAGGACCTGTTTCTTTATTCTGTCTCAGCTGTTGGGATGGTCATGCCGTCATCTCACCATCAAGACACCCAGGCCACTGTATCCTCGTTACTCTCCAGGTTTCACTCGTGGTCTTTCAGACTTTCTCTAGCGTCATCCATTTGGGGGACATCCCTCTTACCATTTTCAGCTTCTTTTTGTTTTTCTTTCTGCTTGTATTTGTATTCCCAGTAGTTAGCACAGTGGCTGGCACATAAGAAGTACTTAATAAATACTTGATAATTTGACTATCTCCATGATCCTGAACTCTGAAATTCCCATCTGATCACAAATTCCTTTTTTAATTTGTACCTCTGTATCACTAAACTTATTTTTTCTCTTCACCATGAGCTTCAGTCTCTCTACTCCTCCCTCTTCTCCCAATCTGTTATCCCTGCTCTGGTTTTATAGTCCTCCTATCATTATCTTGATTCTATACTTGACCAGTTCATCTGCACATTGTCTTCTACCCTTGAATTCCTTGGCCTTTGGCCACTTGTGCCCTGCCAGACCCCAGCCCTAGGATAACCTCCCCCATGTGCCTTCCCTACGTCTCTTCTCCTGTGGAGTGCTGTGGGTGAAAGTCACACAACAAAAAGTCTTTTGTCCCTCTCTCTTGGTGGACGACCTCACATCTCCTGAGACAATCAGAGTGTCTGTTATAAGCTCTTTTCCCCCACCTCTGACCCCTTTTCATCTTTCCCCTTTCTTGCCTACTTTTCCTTCCATCTCTGATGAAGAGATGACCCTTCTCAGTCCCTCTGCTTGAATCCTTTATCCTCTCCCTATCTGTCACCTCCAGGGACTCACTCCTTTGATCATCCTGTTTCCTTCTCTCAGGTACCTTTCAGTTTTCCTTATCTACTGGCACCTTCCCTGTATCTACAAAGTCTTGCTTATCTTTAAAAAAGCTTCACGTAAAAAAAAATTTTAAAAAGCTTCATTTGACCTTGCTGCTTCTCAAGTTCTTGGCATAGGTCTCTTTCTCCTTTCACAGCCAAGTCCTAGCAAAACTAGTCTGTCTTCACTATTTCTTCTTATTCACTTTCCAGTTACTTCTCAGTCCCTTGTACTCTCATTTCTGACTCCAATGCTCAGGCAAAGTTGGCCCCTCCAGGGTATAAACCTTTTCATAACCTTTTTTTTTTTCAGTCCTCAGTTTTTTTGCAGGTTTTAATAGTGTTGACTTAACCCAGCTCTTGTATATTCTGTCTTTCCTGACCTTCTGTGGCACTGCTTTCTTCTGGTTGTCCTTCTGTCTGTCCAACTTTTCCTCAGTCTCCCTTTCTGGGTCATCATCCATCTCTTTCCCCCCAACTGTGTGAGTGTCCCCCAAAATTCTGTTCTTGGCCCTCTTTCTCTCCCTTGGTCACCTCTTTTACTCCCATGAGTTCAGTTATCTTTTTGTATATAACTTTCATATCTTTCTATCTAGCCCTAAATCGTTTTTGCAGAACCCCAGTCCTTCTTACAGTGCCAGCCATCTCCACTTGATGCCTCAAGAGCATCTCAAATTCAGCAGGTACAAAACATGACTGATTATCTTTTCCCCCTCTAAATCTGCATCTCTTCCAAACTCCCCTGCTTTTTGGAAAATCTATCCTCTTCTAATCACCTAGTTTTACAACTTCCAAGATATCCTTATCTTCCCTTTCTCTCACCTGACCCTGCCTCCCATCCAGTCAGTTGCTTAATTCTCTTTATTCTGCCTCCATGTAATTTCTTGAATCTGTTGCTGCATTTCCACTTAGATACCTAGGTCTATAGATGAGATCCTCAATAACTTTAGCCTCGACTATTGTAATAGCTTTCTAATTGGTTCCCCCGCTTCCAGTCTCTTCCTTCTTCAGTCCATCTTCCATAAGGTTGCCAAAAGAATCTGACTTTGTCACCATCCTCCTCAAACTTCTTGAGTAGATAAAGTATAAACTCCTTAGCCTGACATTTAAAAATAAAGATTGATCTTGATTTCCAGAGATATCCTTCACCTTTCCCCTCGCCATCAAGGCATCCCTTATAACAGTAATTAAAGAAGAAAAGGAAAAAAAGCAACTCAGTGAAACTAACCAACATGTCATCTCTTTCTATATAATATTTTCTGTATGTGTATATGTAATATTCTCTACCTGTTGTCTCATAACTCTGCAGTGAAGGGAGGAAGGGAAAATTTGGCCTTTTCCCTGGACCCAGACTTAGTCATTATAATCACACATCATTCAGTTTCATTTTTCTTTCTATTTACATTCTTGTAGTCATTTGTGTGTATTGTTCTCCTGGTTCTGCTTCACTCTGCATTAGTCTTCATAAGTCTTTCCCTCCTCAGAATTCTTCATATTCACCACTTCTTAAAGCACAGCAATGTCTCATTATATACCAGCATCACAATTTGTTTAGCCATTTCTCATTTCTGTCCTGATATTTAAAACCCTACACAACCTGACTCCCACTTACCTTTACAGACATTTTATTTTTCCCCTTCATGCTTGCTCATGTCCCTGCCATTTGTTATATTACAGCCAGCCATTATTTTCCAGCTGTTACCGGAATTCAGTATTCCTCCTCCTAACTCTGTGTCTTTGCAAGGCTGTCCCTTGTCCCTCAAGTATAATTCATCTTCCTTTCCACCTCTTAGAATCCTTGCCTTCAAGGCTCAGCTCAGGTATTTGTCTCTCTATAAACCTTTACTGATTCCTCCAGTTTTTTATGCTTTTTCCCTTACCTTTTATTTGCTTAGCAGTGTACAGGTTGTATTCTACCAATTAAATATCGGCTTCTTTAGGACAGGAACCATTTTGTTTTTTCTTTGTATCCTCAGCTCCTAGCATAGTGTCTTGGTTTTGATAAGTGCTTAGTAAATGTTTATTGAAATTTAATTCAAACAGCTGTGTCACTGATGAATACATATCAAAAATGATCTCGCATTTCCTGCCTTGTGAAGAATCTGCCATGACCTTCAAATCCACTCTTGTGGGTCTTTTGGAGAAGGGTCTGCAAAGCATTCCCTTAGCAGGTTTTAAAGGAAGAAGATCTAGGGTCTTTGTTGAGTGTCTCATAGTCCCCCTACTAATTCCTCAGTGAGCAGAATGCTGCAGGGTCCCTGCCCAGGATCTAGGTACCTTTTCACCATTTCTGCTCTGATGCTTTTATACAATTTCACTTATATCAAGTGCACCACACTTTGATATGTGAATCTCATGGTAGAGTTCATTTATATTAGATTTTTTTGGCTTAGGAATTTAGAAGTCTTGGTATTCTAGGCCTCTTGACCTTTTCCCTGGCTCTAAATTCACAAAGAAAATAGCTCAGTTTTTTGTGTAGAACAATAAAAAATGCATATTGAATTGAATGATAGGCTTGAGAATCATCATTTACCTGACTAGGCTAACATGTGACCCTCCCCATCCCCTGCCTTTCTTATATCTCCTCTGACTTCTTCGTGTGGTCTTTGCTGTAAATACCAGATTCTAGTAAAAGCAAGCTGTACCTCTTTTTAAAACTAAATTCCAGTTGTTGTTTATAGGGCAAGTTTAGGATTCCTTTTTACAAATTGTTTATTATTACTTTTTATCTTTTACATCAACTTCATTTCCAAATATATTGCTCCTTCTCCCCTGCCTAACTAACCATCCCTTGTATGGGGATAGGGACTAAACTTGTGACTTCATTCATACAGGGAATTTTAAAGAGGAAGCGCCTCTTCTTGTGCAGGGCATCACCTTTTCTGCAACTGGTAGTCTTAGAGAGTTACCTCGAGCATGTGAGAGGTTAAGTTACCTGTCCATGATGTGCACAACCTGGAAGTAGGTTTTAGAAGCAGGATTTGAATCCATGTCTTCCTGTGCTATGATACCTCTCTGTAAAAAAGAATAAAAAAAGATGGGGAAAAAGCATTTCAGCAAAATCAAGCAACACACGAGATCTTAGTTCTCAATCTAGAAGGGACCCTATAGCCATCTCATCCAATCCCCTCATTTTACAGAGGAGGAGAATGGGGCCCAGGGAGGTTGTGACTTACCCAAGGTCAAAAGGTTATTTCTAGAAGCAAGATTTATACTCATTCCTCTTACTTCAGAGCTAGTGGACTTGAACATATTTTTTATTATGAACTTAGCAAATATGATTATTTCCAAATATGAAGAATAGAAAAAGAGGTTTATATAATAAGCCATTAACTTCTGTTACATTCAACTTTTTTTAAAAGCACATTAAATTTAACAGAGTAGTACCAACACTGCCCACTTTGTTGTCTTTAACTTTTCCCGAATTTCCTTCTTTTCTTTTCTGTGTATTTTTAAAATATTTCATTAATGTTTTTTTCTTTCTTCCTGTCGCTATTGGTCCACTTTACCCTATACCTCTTCCTCCCTTGTGATAAAAGCCCTCCTTTGTAACAAACCAATTCAAACATTGACCATATCTGAAAATGTATGTCACTTTCTGCACCTTTAGTCCATTACTTGGTTTTTTTGGAGTCATGATTGGTCATTTCATTATCAGAGTTCTTATGTTTTTCAGAGTCATTTTCCTTTATATTATTGTAGTCACCAATGCAGCTTGGTGACTCAGTGGATAAAGCACTGGACCTGGAGTCAGAAAGACTGGTTCAGATCCAGCCTCAGCCACTTACTAACTATGTGACCCTGGGCAAGTCACTTAGCCTCTGTCTGCCTCAGTTTCCTCATCTAAAAATAAGGATAATATTTAAACCTACCTCTCAGAATTGTTGTGAGGATCAAATGAGATAATATTGGTATATTGCTCTGCATACTTTAAAGCACCAAACAAATGCTAGTTATCATCATCATCATCATTGTTGTTGTCATTGTTATTATTATTGTTATTGTTATATAAATTGTTCTGGTTCTATTCACTTGACTCAAGTGGTTTTTCCACTAATTGTGAACAGCAGATACGATATTTAATACCAATAATCCTCTGCAAAAAATGGAAGAAGGGGCCGCTAGGTGGCGCAATGGATGGAGCACTGGCCCTGGAGTCATAAGGACCTGAGTTCAAATGTGATCTCAGACCAGACACTTGGTACTTACTAGCTGTGTGATCTTGGGCAAGTCACTTAACCTCAATTGCCTCAAAAAAAGTATGTCCATCAAAGAATGGAAGGAGGTACATTTTCTCAAGTGTCTGGTTCCCAGCCTCATTCTCCATGGTTTCCAGGTGTCTGAGGGGCTTTCACTTGGTGTCCGAAATCTTCCATCCTTAGGACACTTCCTTTCCTTTTCAGATTCCTGGGATCATACTATTTAGAGCTGGGCAGGACCTTAGAGATCATCCAGTCTACCTCCTTCATTTTACATATTAGCCCACTGAGGCTCAGAGAAGCCCAGTGACCTATGGTCACATAACAAGTGAGTTGTAGGGCCAGGTGTGGAACTCAGATGTCCTAAAATGTGTGTTCATTTTATTTACCATTAATGTTCATGAAATGGGTAAGCATTTGGTAAAGAGAAAATTGTGTCTTTTGTAGAAAGCTAAGAGTGTAAAACAATGACTAGAGTTTATGAATAGTCTACCGAGCAAGTCATTTACCCATCTTTAGGCTTCAATTTCCTAGCTACAGAAGAAAGAGTTTGCATCAGATAATCCCCAAAGACTTTTCTAGCTCTAACATTGCAGTATAGTAGCAAGCTGAACAGAAGTCATCTTCTATCAGTATTTATTCAGTACATATTCAGTTTATATAATTATATCTGCTTATGGTTGGAGTATGAAATGAAGGTTTGAAGAGGTATGGAAAAGGGATTTAACCAAAATATTTCTGTAGATAAATATATTGCAAGTTATTTTTCAAACATGGGCCTATCAACTTTTTTTTTTTCTAATGAGAGGCAGCCTGGCATAGTGGATAAGAGAGTTAACTTTAGAGTTAGGAGACTTATGGTCAAATCAAACCTCTGACACACATACTTGCTATGTTACCCTGGGCAAGTCATTTAATCTCTCATGCTCTTGGCAACTCTGAGAGTACAGAATGCCAACCTTTATTCGTAAAGGGAGTTTCCTCATCTAGGAGGAGTTCCCTATACCAAGATACCACAGATCCAAGCTAATCTCTAGCCTTATTTTTCCAATTAAGTATTTTTTGTTTTTGTAAAGGTAATGGTTACTCCAAATATCTTTCTCTTTTAGAATATGTATTCTGCATTTCTTCAGTTGCTTCCAGTTCTCGTGATTGTGGTGATATCTGTTATTACTCAGCTGATGGCCACAAACCCTCCATACAGTTTATTCTATAAATCGTAAGTCAAATATTTTCATTTTTTGTTAATGATAGGCTTTGGGGATGTGGGTAAGTAAAAGACTAAAAGGCTCTGTCAATAAGTTACTCATTTAATTTCAGTATTTGTTTCAGAAAACAAAACTTGGTGTTTAAAGGGGAAGCTTTGCAGTGAAATCCCATACTGGAGACATAATGTATAGAAGTAATCTAATTTTTAAGGGAATTATTTTGTTCTACAGTGACACCCTCTGGGCAAAACAAAGAATGGCAGTGACTGGTCTCTAAAGCAACTCTCAAATTGCTTAGCAAACTGAGAAATGGTCATAGAATGTGTGAGAGATTATCTTGTCCATTCTTCTCATCTTAAAGTTGAGAAAACCAAGGCCGAGAGATCTGAAGGCAGGGAGGCAGTAGCATGATACAGGGATAAAACACTGGATTTGGCGTTTGAGAAACTGGGCTCTCAGAATCACAGAATGTGAGGTTGGAAAGGCCCTTGGGCTGGCTAGTCTAACCCACACACACTGTAACATACTTTACTAAATGGTCATCTAGCATCTGCCTGAAGACCTGCAGGGAGGTAAGACCTACTGCCTCTGAGGTACCCCATTTCTACTTTGGGACAGCTCTAATGATTAGTAAGTTTTTCCTGATATATAATAGCCTAAATGTTCATCTTTGTGAGTTCCACCCATTGCTCTTGATTCTGCCTTTGCTCCACATAACAGTTCCCCAGATACTTGAAGACACCTATTTTATGCCCCCTGAGCTTTCTCCTATAGGCTAAACATGATCCGTTCCTTCAGGTAGTCCTCATTTGACATGTACTCAACACTCTTGCCCTCCAAACTTCTCAGTGTCCTTCTTAGATTGTGTTGCTCAGAGCTGAACAGATGAGGTCTGAAGAGAGCACAGCACAGTGGGGCTTTCTGTCACCTTATTTCTGGAACTGTGCAGCCCAAGATGGCATTGGCTATTCTGGCTGTTATACTGTAAAATTCCCAGATTTATTTTCAAAACAATTATCTAACTATGTCTTCCCCCATCTTACGCTTGTGAAGTTGATTTTTTTATACCCAAGTGGAAGACCTTAAATTTATTAGTATTTAATTTCTTCATATTAGATTCAGCCCAATGCTCTAGCCTGTCAAGATCCTTTTAGAGCAAGTGTTCTTAACCTGGTGTCCAGGAACTTGCTTTAAAAAAAAAATTTGATAACTGTATTTCAATATAATAGGTTTTATTAGTAATTTTGTGTTTTGTGCACTTAAAAGTATTCTGATAAGAAGTCAGTAGATTTTATCAGAATGCCAAAAGGGTACATGACCAAAAAAAGGTTAACTCCTGTTTTAGATACTGAATCTGTCATCAACTGTGTTTCCCAGCTATGTGTTACCTGTAAATGTAATGCGTATGCCATCTATGTCTTTATCTAAGACAGTGATAAAAACTGTTAAATAGAACACTAATCACAGGTCTTTGAGATACGAGACTAGAGGCCTTCTGCCACCTTGACATTGACATTTAATAGCTACTTTTTTTTTAGCCTGGGCTTCCTGCTAATTTTGAATCTATCTAATTGTATTATTTTCTAGTCCATATTATTTCATCTCTGTAAAAATAGCATGAGATATTTTATCAGAAATTTTGGTAAAACCCTAGGTAAACTATCCATGTTCTTCCCCTCATTGAATAGTTGAATAATTTTATCAAAAATGGAATTGAGGTTAGTCTGTCATGACCTGTTCTTGATGAAGCTGTTGTGGCTCTTTGTAATCATCACATCTCTTTTTAGACCAACAGTCTCTTTAACAATCCATTCTAGAATTTCTTAGGAATTGAAGTCAAGTTCACTTGGCTTATAATTTGCAGACTCTATACTCTTCCATTTTTTTTTTAAATTGGATCAACATTTTCTCTTCTTCATTCTTGTAGTACCTCTTCCCCAGGCACTCTTGGCTATTACTGACAGTGTTTCAGCAGTCACATTGCCAGGTCTTTCAGTGCTCAAGAATGTAGTTCATCTCGGACCAGAGACTTGAATTCCTCAAGGGCAGCCAGGTCCTTACTTCTCTTGGGTATTGGTTCTTTTGTTTCTGTTCTCTGTTGCAGAGGTCACTCCCCTTGGCCAATGAAAAGGAAACAAATAAGAAAGGAGCAGCTAATTGTCCCTTGTACCCCAAGCAAAGGCCTTTCCTTTCTTTGATCCTCTTTTATGTTGTCCTTATCTTCCCTTGCCAACCTCAGCTCATGTGGAATTTTACTTCTCCTGACAGTAAGGGAAAATTTATGCCATAATTCATGCTTTTTTCTCTGGCCTTATTTCCACATTCTGTATATTTATCTTTTAACTTGCACTTAGTTGGTGAGTTCCCTGTGTATCCATATTAGTCTTGTTGGGCAAATCCCATGTTTCCTTCCCACTGAACTTATTTTCCCTTGTGTCTTGAGAATTTCATTCTTGAGTGTCTCCCATCCTTCCAGTGATTGAGTAATTCAAATCCTGCCTCACTTACTTACCACATGCGTGACCTTAAGCGAGTCACTTAACCTCTCTAGGCCGCAATTTCCTCATCTTTAAAATGAGGGAGTTGTACTAGATGGGCTCTGAGGTCCCTTCCAGCCCTAAGTCTATGATCCCATGAAGTAAGTAGTTTATTGCCCAAGCTTACTCAGTGGAAGAGCACAGACTAGAACCCAAGTCCCCTGCTACCCTACCATCCAGTGCTTTTTCCTTTTTCATGCTGTCTTCCTTCTCTTCAGGAGAGTGGTATATTTGCACAGACATACATGCTCTGTGCACACTTTATTTGGGTAAAGACAAAGAGCAACTGTCACTTCATTCCACTGGGAGAGATAGCCCAAAAAAAGGGATCTTAGACAGCCACTAGGGAGACCAGTCTAGAGTCCTGCTGCCATTTTGTGAAACATTAACTTAAAAGATAGAACTTAAAAGATAAACTTCAAGCAAAGCCCCAGTGAACAAAATCAGTTTAGGGCTTGCGAACTTGTCGTATTATTATAACTTGAAATGCAACTTACTGTCCTAGAAATTTGCTTTAGCAGCCTCCAAGCTTTTCATATTAACTTAGGCTGGTGCTTCTGAATTTGGGGACTTAGATTTCTATACTACAATTCCTTTACTTCCTCAGGGTTATTTTTTGGCTTTGGCCCTGAGGCACTCAACTTTCTAAGCATCAGATGTGTAGTTTAGGTCCTTAGGAACTTGTACCAGAATGGCCTTGATGAACTATGAACCCATGTCTTCTTGCAGTTCTACCCAGGTATCTCTCCCAGCTTTCAGGTGCTGTTTTTAGTCTCTTTGATATTAATGCTGGATCAGTGCTATCTGTCTGATTATTTGTAATTAAAATGTTTTATCTAAATGACATTTTACTCTTATCACAATAAACCTTAAAGAGAATCTACTTTTAGAAAAGTTATTGACAAATAACAGTGTACACGTTTCCTATCAGTTTTGCTTTTATTGTGGTGACCAATATGGTCCCAATTCCTTTAGGAAATTGGAAGAATACAAATACTATAGTGGCATGCGTGTTAGGCATTGATGCTGGTGATGTTGTAGGCAGTAACTGTTCTGTAAATAAAATGTTAAATGTTACTGACATAAATTGTTGTGGGAACCTTGGTAAGGAGACAGATTTCTGCGTGTGTCCATTAAATGTTCCTAGAGGCTTATACACAGCAAATATTATTAATGATATTGCTAACCTTTGGTCGTGTCTGTGTGCTTTTCTCACAGGTCCATGGGGCACACCATTTCCAGAGAAACAGAAAATCTGCAGGTGCCTTATTTCGTTGATAAACACTTTGAAAAAAACTATAAAGGGCCATCACTGCGTGATTTGGAGAAGACTGTAGAAAAGGATTATATAGATTATATTCAGTCAAGTTGTTGGAAGGAAAAACAACAAAGTAAGATGGGGCAGGTGATGGAAAGGGGGAGGGCACTTGATTTTGTTATCATCTTGACAAACATTTCCTCAGAATGGCGTAACGTACTCTAGCTTAAAACAGTCGGCTTATTACTCATAGTCTTTTTGCATCCCTCCTTGCCCCTTTTCCCCTATTTGGACGAGGGATATGATAAGTCACTTGATTTACAGGTCAGATAGATTTGGCCAAAGTAGTAACAGCAAGTATAGTTGTGCATACCTCACAGATGCCACTTCCCCTACCCTTCTCTCTTCCCTGCCTTAACCCTTTAAGATTTGCCTTTCTATAAACCGAGAAGTTGAACTAGATAAACTCTGCCTTACCTAGCCCTAAGTTTATCTGATTTTTTGGTTTATCCTTAGCACTCATTTCTTAAGAAATTTAGGTTTTGTAAATTTGAAAAATGTTTTATTTATGCTTTTTGTTTTTTGTGTTGTAGCCAGTTCCCAATAACATCCTCCCTTATCACAACCAAAGATAACCTAGCAAAACAAACCAACATAGTGGTGGATCAGATATTGAGGGATTTAGGGTAGTGGTGTTAAACTACAGGCAGAAGTCATATCTTCAATTCTTAGAACTGAATTTGTAAGTTTAGAAGGAGGAAAAGGAATTGAGAAGAAGAGAATATAGGTCCCTTAGGCCTGAGGGACAAAGGATATTGATTCATTTAAACTAAATGGAAATTAACATGTCATAAATATGTTTACTGCTTTGCATCTTGGGATAATTCTAAGTTATGACATTAGCTTTAAAGTTTACAAAGCACTTTTCCTATAACATTGCTGTGAAGTAGAAAGTGCAAGTATCATTATCATCTCTATTTTACAGGTAAGGAAACTAGGGCTCAAAGAGGGAAAATGAAATTGCCTATGTTCATGACTCATTCAGTGTCATAAAGCCAGACCTTGAACCTGGGCCTTGAACCCACTTGACCCCGGGCCTTGAACCCACTTGACCCCAATGCACTTTACACTCTACCACCCTGCCTTTCAAGTTCATTGTATTCCTTGTGCAAAAAGAGAACAAAACTCTGTTTCTTCTCTTAACCCTTCCTTTTACTCTATTGCCAAAAAAGGCAATCATTTAATGTTCTTGTTGGTAGATAAAAGAAATCCTTGTAATGCTGCCCCTGCTAGGTCTTGGTTTTGAGCCTGGTGAGGTCACATGTGATGGCTGTGCCCCTCACCAACTGCAGAAAAATTCAGGAGATAAGTATATTTGCTTATGATTTACAATGAGTTCTAGTTAGTCTGCACACCTTTAAAAATCTATTTCCAATATTTGAGAGTGTTCACTGCCTAGTACCTCTGTAGGAAATGCAAAGCTATTTACAAATGATCAGCAACTGTTCTGCTGCTCCAGCAGCAAGTACAGCTGAGATGGTTAAAATTAGCACCATAGAGGTTACAAAAATAAAGCAACTTCAGAACAAAGTTTCCTGTTGGCAAAATGTTCTGTGGAAACTTTTTGGCAAAGTCAGTTATTGTCTTTTGTAACCTTTTGGTCGTTTTCTCTACTATTCCTTAAAATATTTAACTTAAGTGTGGCTCATCTTTGGACTCCTGAGTAATCACTTACTATGGCTGTTTAGCCCCTTGGTGAATTTTATTTTTTATTTTTTTTATATCTGTACCTGAATGAATACTTTAAAAAAAAAAAAGTAAAACCAACAGAACTGGATGATTGTTCAGGAAACATGGCCTTGTTTACTTTTCCTCCTAAATAGAGCTACCTGGAGCCCTGGACTATGTAGCTCTAGTCTTCTGCATTTATTTCTTAATTAAGTGTACGGATTTGGTTTTCACTGTGGTCTGGATCTGGGTTCTCTGAGAGCATGACCTCATCAGATGTGTCACCATGACAGCTGAGACTGGCCAGGATGCTCCAAATTTGCCAGCCCCAGGTCTGAAAACTGAAAGCAGAGTATTCTTGGGAGTTGAGGCAATGACTTACTTCTTTTCTGTTAACCAGAGCCCAAGTCAATTGCCTTTAAAATCTATCAAATATGTGTTCTATTGGTTACCCAAATGTTTGTGTCAGGGCAGGATGAACATAAAGGGAGAATTTGGAAGAAGATTATAATGCCAGCATTTAAAAGATATTATATTAGACCTGCCCTTTATCATTGTTTTAAAAGGAGTTGCTTAAAAGATTAAATTTAGCATTTTCATTTTGTCAATCTTTTGCTCACTGATGGGCTAAGAATAGTTTGGGGAGAAGTTTCTCTGTAAATATTATAATTGAGCAGGAGCATCGTGAATTTGGCCTCATATGAAACTTTGGATCTTAGATTTTTAGGAGCAGCCTGTTGATTTGCTCCAGAGCAATAAAATCAAGTCAAGCCAGGTAAATAGAAACTCAAGGAAATTGAATGAAGATTAAAAAGAAACAAAAGAGCCTGCTTCAATTCAGATAATTTTGTATTCCTTCTAATTGTCCAAGACTAGCATCAAACATACCTCCAACCCAAAGGAACTAAAGGTCTAGGTGGGTTCAACAATGGCATTCTGAATGTACTTTGCACACGTTGCTGAAGATATCAAAAGAATTAAGTCCACATTTGACTGTAGAGAGAACCTTAGCAAAGGTATTTCAATTCATGGAGCCAAATAATTATCCTTGAAGGTCTGTCACCTGCAAGAGTTATTGTGCCAATACAAACTTAGTCTGATGGCCACGAATGCCAACCAAACAGAATGGCTTCTGGAACACATTGTTTTTGAACATGGGAGATATAATTGCATGTCAAGCAACTACCTGAGTTTGACTCATGTAAGGCCTTCTGAACCACATGATCTGAACCATTTGTCATGAAAGGAAACTTTCCATGCATTGTCTACCTGTCATCCTCAACTCCTACATGTAATCAGTGCTTTGGGTTGTCCTGGGCCTCCCTCGGTGTCAATAGAGCCATTGTGTGAGCAGAAGTGTTAACACAGCATTCTATATTTATGAAAACTTGTTTAAAAGTCAGTGCCTAGTGCTCCCTATGACTATTTAACCCCTATGTATTAATTCCTGTTTCTAACAGTTTGTTGATTAATTAGACTAGTGCCTGTTTTTCACAGAGAGAAACCAGTCTTTCAGTAGAAAGACTGGAAGGGAACAGATTTATTTCAAAATGATTAAGATACAATTTTCACAGGGTGATGCTTTAAACATATCATAGCTGCTTTATTTCAGAAGCTATCCATCCAGCATGAGCAAACAGGCTGTTCTAGTATTGCATTTGACCCTTTTCTCAGAGATTCTCTTAAGGAATTCTATCCTAAAAACATGTGTTAGAAATATTAAGAAATTATGAAAATTGGATATAATCCAAACATCAAATCACGGAAAACAGCTAAGAATGTAATCTAGTTTTCAGCAGAACAGCCTTCACTAACATAGAAAGAAAATCAGACTCATTTAACCAAGCAGCTAAAAGTCACAGTATGTGAATTAGTTTACTTTTTGATTTATGAGTTGTGTGCCCTACAAGTAGAGAGAAGTGAAAAATGTCTCTGGCCGCCCCTGGACCTTCTTGTATCTTTGATAATGACTCTGCATCATTTAGTATGTGTAAGTTAAGATCCAAAAAAAGAATAGGGGAAGGAATGAAGCAGCTGTCTTGCTATCAGACAGCAGGACAGGGAGAGTGAGCTGTTGTTCCCTTCCAGACTGTAATCTGAGTAACATTGGAGGACATAGTTTTAAATATATTCTCTTGTTGCACACATGTAAGTTCCATAAGTCCGGTGCCAAATGTTAAATTGATGAGAACTAAGCCCATTGCTCCTCTGACCCAGGACCCAAAACCACAAGCAGAACTTAAGGAAAGAAACAGTTCATTAAAATACAAATTGGTCTTAATTCAGTGAAAACTAAAGTGAGTTCCAAGGCCTTGACTGTCTGCTTTTTAACTGGTTCTCTCTTTCACTTTTCAGAGTCAGACTTGACAAACTTGGCCAGACTATACCGAGATGAACGCTTGAAACAAAAGGCAGAGTCACTGAAACTTGAAAACTGTGAAAAACTGTCTAATCTTATTGGCCTCCATAAAGGTGGTTGACGGAATCATAGGTGGATTACACAAGGGCATGAGTTTTTCTTAGTTGTTCCTATTTATGTTACTAATTCCATTTTATAAAAGAAAATTAGAAAGTCAACTCCATTTTTATGGCTTGCTGAAACTCAAGTGGACAGAGCTGAAAACAATTGAGCCATGGAGATAGTTTCCAGTCTTCTCATAATCCTTGGTATAGTCTGACTCCAAAGGCCAGTGACAGTTCAACTAAATTGATTTCTTGGGCATAAATATTTGATCTGACACTAGTCCCACACCATTCCTGACTACCCTCTAGGGACTTTGTTCCAGAAGTAGAACCAAAACATATTCTCTTATCGGTGGATAAGTGTATCATCTAGAAATAAATAGCCACCATTTAGTTCCATGCCACACACAAGCTTTATAGCTTTAGTTATTTATAGCCCATACAGCAAATAGTACCTTTCTGTCAGTTAGAGATATCATTTCACTCCCATATCACTAGGCAGAATATGTTAAAGTCAATTCTTCATTATTCCATGGCCATGAGAAAGACATGCTTAAAGGAAATAAAATGAGATAATGTATGTAACGCACTTTGTAAATTGTAAAACACTAATGTCTTATTATTATTGTTGTTAATAATAACACAGATTCATTGTAGCTAGTAGTTGTCACACCCTCATTCTCTTGTATGTTGCTGACATTAGCAACACCACCTGATTTGAGTTTCACCTGATTTGAATTTGATTCTACTCTTCTTTGGTTTAGGTTTCAGGGTACTGTGACATTGCCAAAAACTCAGCAATAGGCCAGAGCCCAAAGATGGAAATACTTTAGGTCCTGGACAGTTACCGTTCACAGATTGGCTCCTAATTAATTAAGAGTTGACTTATGTTGCTCCTAAAGAATAGGACATCTCTGGACCTCAGGTACTTCATCTCTAAAATGAAGGGGTTGGATTAAATGATCTCAGAGGTCTTTTCTGACTAGCAGTCTATGATCCTATGTGCTCCTGCATATTTCAGTACAGACAAGTATATGGTGAAAGTTCCCTCTTCTTAGATTTTTCACTTTATATGATATAGCATTCAAGTTGAATTTCTCAACCTTGTTTAGGGGTATGAGAGTTAAGATTGAAATGGAGAGATTGCCAGTTAGCAGAGCTGTACTTGAGAACAGAGAGGTAGAAAGAAAATGGAGTGTAAGCTGAGGTGATGCAGACTGGATTGAAAGAGTGGAAGAGTCTTCCCTTAAAATCTTCATCTCCCTGTGTTTTGTATGCCATTTGTAATGGCTCTACCTTCAGCATCATTTCTCAGCTTGCCTTCAATCGACAGGGCCTCTCTCCACAAGAATCTTGTAAACCAAAGAAGAGATTGCACACAATCAGCTCTCTTCCAGAAAGCACTGCTCTGATAGGTGAAAGGGCACTTCATTGCACATAGTCATTGGGTTCCTTATCTTCCTGTTAGGATGTTCAGTAAGACAGCTAGATTCTTTCTTTCTTAGGACTAGAACTGAGATTCCCATTTGATGATCACCTGGTTTTAGAAATGGAAAGAAAGAGATGCCCACGGCTGGATCTTCCATAGTAAAAGTTCCCTTTTTCTATGTTCTAGGAATCTAGGTGTGTGGGTCCTGAATTCAGCAAAGGATAGGTCTGGGTCATAGGGCTTTGGTCTCTGAGGAACTGGAAAATGCCCACAAGAAGGGTGGGAAGAAACTGTTTCACATACTGCTGAGATGAACTCTGAAGAGTCAAGCAGTTTACTTTGGAGGGCATAACCTCAGGATCCCATTTGGTGTTCTGGGATGTTCTTTGAAAGACCTTGACAATTCTTTCAGAAAGATCTGCACTATAAAATTTGTCTGCATTCAAGGAGGCCTGGGGAAAGCTGAGCTTCCTCTCTATCTTGAAAGTAGAGCTCTCTTTTTTTCTGATTTCTCCTAGAAATTAAATTAACATGAAAGGCCCTGCTCTGAATGCTTATGAATAACATAAACATTTATTTGATGGAGTCAGAGATAAGATATTTGTGAAGCTGTTGAGTAAAAGCAATGTTAATGGCCATTATGTACTAGAGGACATATATATTCCCATAGCACTGATGAGAGTGTTATATTTCTTAATAGAGCAACACAATTGCATTTGATTTTTCTCAAGGGAATAGTTAGGTTTTGTTTTGATCCATTGCTGGTAATCTCCAGTATATTGTTACATGAAAATGTTCCTGTTTGTATTTTAGTTAAACTATTTGCATGATAGTGTCTACTATGACCTTTGGAGTAGTCCCTAAAAGTATTAATATTGCAGGTGAGGACCATGCTGCTTCCTGCTGTAAAGGCAGGACAGACAGTTCTGTGCACTGTTTCTATGTAAATTATTTTGGGTTTGGTACATGTGTGGGCAAGTTGAAATGGTACTTGGCTAAGGTAGAGACCATTGTGCTAAATTTTTTTATGAATGGAATTTATGTGCCTCTTTCTCTTTATGTACCATGCGGAGTAATGGGGGGAGGAAAGGAAAACCTTTGTTGCCTCCAGAGAAATTCACATCTTGGGAAGAGAAAAGTCACCTCAAGATCAGTCACCTGTTTGCTGAAAAGCTCCAGCCTGCCCATTAAGCCAAACCTAAATGCTACTGACTTTCCTCATGATCACCTACCTGAACATTACTACCTGGTGAAAGGGACCAGTCAAAGAATGTCACTGAATAAGGCTTTTGTTTCTTGAACTGCTAAGAACTGTATTGAATCCTAAGTCACACAGGTTTGTGGTAAGTACTCAGTAGCCTAGATAAATTCTGTATTTTAATGGTCATGAAACAAAAGAAATACTCACTTCCTTAGTGACTATTTTGGGAATGTACACTAAACACAGAAAAACACTCTTAACATTCAACTGTGGCTGAACATCAAAGTTCTTTGTTTATGCATGCTGTAATACTGTACAGGAAATATAGTTTATTTTGAATTACTTTAGACTCACTGTTCATTTAACATGCCAGCTTAGCATCCAAGCATTTATTTTCTGGGAGTAGTATCACTGTTGGTTTAAGATTTTTAAGCCTGCATTGTATTTCTTCTAGCAGAGAAATGTTGACTACTAGGAACTGTCTGCCTGCTCTTTAAAAATTGATTGTGCCATTTGTAAAATGTTTGGAATTAAAGTTATGAATGCTCTCAACATCATTACCTGGTTGAAGTTGAAGTTCACGAGGGCCAAGTCAGCTCACAGCTGACTTTAAAAAAGTTTTAACCTCTCTTGAAAAGTTTTTTTTACTGTTGCCTTTATGTTTTCACACCATAATCAATTTCCCTTTTACTGAACCCTCCCTCATAATTCCAAAAAAATATATAAGGAAAAGTAACTGACACAGAGATCACATATGCCTGTGAATACCACATTCCTATATTGAGAAGATGATCACTGTGATCTTTTGGATGTCTAAAATTGGTCATTATAACTAGTCAGAGTTTCCCTCTTTAATGTTGTTGCCTTCACGTTTTTTCCATTGCTTCACATATACAGTCATCCTTCCACATTTGCGGGGGTTAAGGGTATAGGACCCCCATAAATGTGGAAAACCGTGAATAACTCTAGGCCCCACCCCAAACCTTTATTTTTAATAATTCTGATCATATTTACTTAACACAAAAAAAACAAATAAAACAGTACACTGCACCCATAAAAAAGTTGTAGTTTCTACTGGACAGAGATTAGTGACTTGTATGCTGTGCAGAGTCTTCACAGCCACAGTGTTGTGGCATTTTCTTCATAATTTCCTTCCCCGAAGAGCCCAAGATACAAGGAGAAAATTACATGACTGAGTCTGGATGGTAGAGAGACAAAGAGGAGGAATTCCCAAAGGGAATGCATAGCCCATAGTTCTTTATTGCACTGAAACTTTTAAGAAAATCCAACTGTTTATATAAATATATGTATGTATGCTTATGGTAGTAAATGATAAAAATAGATTAATAATATACAATATTTATGCATTTATGATTTACTAATTTTTTTAGTTTTCTGTATTATTGCGCGTTGCCTTTGATTTTCTGCAGTAGGTGCAAATCTCCAAAAATTCCCATTTGATTATCTGTAGCCAACCAAATAATCAAAACCTCGAATGTGGAACCCATGAAAGTCAAGGGATGATATATATGTATACACATATGTATGTGTACATATATAATTATATATACACATGTGGTATATATTGCTGTAGGATAGAAGTTTTGAAAAACCTAGTCACTTTCATCTTGATTGGTTGCATCTGGATCAAGCTCAGTTCTTAGAGGTGGAGTACATTTTGATAAAGAAAAATAAAAAAGACATTCATATAAATAATTAATGGCTCTACATGTCATCTTTTTTTCTCTCCCTGCTCCCTTTTTTCTTCTCTTTTGTCTATAGTGTTTATAGGCACCCCTTGGTGGCACAAAGAAATAAAGAGTTTGCTGACATTTATATCCCTTATTGGCTGATGTATGTTTTTTTTCTGCTTATAACAATATCAGTATTGGCAGAATCACCTATTCCTTATTGAGTTTTTCTATCAACCAGCAGCTGCTGTAGCTCATTAATCATTTGCAACCTATCTGCAGATCAAAACTATATTTAACACCAGTAAATCAATGCCATACCAGCTACCTTATTCAGAGAATTTGGACTTATTCCCAATGGGCCAATATTGAGGAAAGTCTTGTTCTAAAAATATAGTGCATAGTATGATTGGCCTTTGTACAGAGCTACAGCTGTGTAAAGGATATTCATAGTACCCATTATTTAAAGAAGATAGGAGGCCACTATATAACATTAATATTTTTTTTTGATAAGAGGCTAGTGGAATGGAAACAGTAAATCAGTCCCTTGGACATTTACGAATTGATTTCCTTTCATCTCAAGACCATGTGTTGAAATCCGATCAGCAACTAGAGAGGATACAGTTATTACTATAACTGGCATGTTTGCAAAGTGCTTTACATTAATTGTCTTACGAATATAGTGCTTGACATGTAGTAGACACTTAATAAATCTTTGTTGACTTGTTGACATATAATCATAACAGCTCTTGAAGCAGGCATTACAGATATTTTTATCCAAATTTTATAAATGGGGGAATAGGGCACCTCACAAGTTTAGGTGAATTTGCCTGAGGTTATACCATTAGTAGGTAGCAAAGCCAGGATTTAAACTCAGATCTGACTGCAAATCTGATACTCTTTCTTAGACCACAGTTGCCTCTAGACTACTATAGATACACTACTATACAGATACACAGCCAACCTTGGGTATTATTATTATATCATATTCTTACTTTGTGATGTTATGTTCCCTAGATCTGTGATTGGCTGGTGAAGATATGTGTTGTGATGCATGAAGTTGGATGTCTATGAGACACCCTCTTCCCTCCCATCAGATTAGGTATATATTGTATGACCACACTGGTGTGCAGGGGATACGGGAATAGGTTTCTTCCTTGCTCATCACTCCCCCCCCCCCCCCCCCGTCACACAGGCTGCTGGGGAACAGTGCTCTCTAAGTTTTTGGCCCAGGTAAGTAAATAGAAAGCGAAAAATCAGTTGAGTTGAAATGATTGCCCAGAGGGTATACAATGTGGTGCTGTGATGGATTTGGGATTTTTATTGGTGTGGAATATTCCCTTCATAAGTGCAGATTACAACCCTTCTGTTTTTCTTTATCCTATGTAATTCTTGTATATGCCTTTAGATGCTATATAAAGGATCTACCTAACTCGCTGAAGATTTTTTTTCAAGGTTGTTTTAATACTTCAGATAATGAAGCCTTTAAAAATAAATGACAGTTTTTTAAAATACATATTTTAGATAATGGATTTGTACCTGGAATCCCTTCTATATATGACAGCTCCAACCTCTTATTTTGGTCATACACATCCTTGGTAATGCCTTTTGTAGTAACTGTGTGCAAGTCATTGTTGGTAATATGCTGCAGCTTACTTAAACCTGTAATTTTGATTCTTCTGAGATCATGGTGTTACATGATCCATAGCCATATGGTATCACACACTGGCAAAATACTATTGTTTAAAAAGATAGGTTTTGTTTTTTGTTTTTTTTTTAAAGAGGTTGATTTCATCACAGCAAAGTAGCTTGAGCATTGTAAAACACAGGTGGACCATTTAAATGTGGTCCAACTTCATTTTCATTTCTGAGTCCATTCTGGGATCCATCTATACAGCACCTGTCATGCATGCACACGCACACACGGACAAACTTAATGGGCTCTCCATACACTGCTTGTCAAATCTGACCAATGTGCATGTTTTAGCCACATGGGTTTTTTTCAGCATGAATGGCTAGGCTAACCTGTTAATACATTAAGAGCTTTCAAATAAAAGCTTTGACTCTTTCAAATGACTGTAGTGTTCCTTATGCATAGGTAGCTGTCTTCTGTGACATTGGCAAACACCCTAAGTGAACATAGACCATTTTTTACCTTAGGTGATGATGATTCATATGTACTCAATGTATCATTGAACAAAAGTACTCTCTGAGGTTGCATTTGCCATAGAATCGTGTATAATTTTAACGTGTGTGGAAGACACATTTTGTTTAAGGAAAGCTTTTAAGGTAGCTTTTTTCTTTTTATCGAATCAACAAAAGCCAGAGTGAAATCTTAGAGTCTCTACACCTTTAAGCTGTGAAAGATGGGTTTTGTGGTAGAAAATCATCTTTTAAAAAGCCTGGCAGTTTCATTTTTGTGTTTTCATAAAGGATGTTTGATTTTTTTATTTTTATTTTTTGCCTAAGACCACTCTTGTAAATAATTTATACTGATAAGAGAGGAGGCAAGGAGTTGTCTTGGCAGTTTCTGCTCAGTCACTTTTTTATTATAACTAACATTTACATTGCACTTCCCAAGTTTGAAGAATGCTTTAATCCATTATTTCATTTGAGCCTCATTATTGTCCTATAAAGGTAAATGTTACAGACGTTATTCATATTTTAGGGATGGGGAGAAATTAAGTAACCCAGCCCTGGCATAGCTCTTTTCAGACTTGTCTTTTCCCTCTGCTGCTATTTGCTGTTTTGATATTGCTTGCAATGTTTTGCAAATCCAGTTTGTACTCTAACCTAGAACCAGTCTTTACCTACCATATCTCTCTAATTATTAGTAAGAGCAAACTTTGCTTCTTTACGGGGTCAGCCCCCTCTTGTCAGTACTATTTTATATTAGTTAAATTTCTCTCTGAAATGGTAATAGTGTCACTTTTGTCATTTTCCATCCTATTTCTTTGTATTAACATCTTGCTTAAACAGTTTTAGTTGATACTACTGTAACTGTCTATGTATCTTTTCATCTTTATCCTTTCTGCTAATGTATTGATTTTTGATCTTTACTCTGATCTTTGATATTTAGGATACAGTGAGGTACCGAAAAGTCCTAGCTCTGGATTCAGGGGAACTAGGTTCACATCCTAATTGTAATGTTCATACTTAAATAATGTGTGAGACCAAGTCACTGAACTACTCATAAAATTAGGGATTTGGACTAAATGGCCTCTTGGGGTGTCTCTTCCAGCTCTAGACCCATCGGTCTGATCTGATTTTGTAATGACGCCTATGTTAATCAGTAATTATTTCCTTAGTATGTCTATATTTGTTTTTTTGTAATATTATTCAGTAATCCCCATCATCCAAATCTTCTGACATTCTTCTCAAAGAAAGTATTCATGATGTCTGTACATTGTGGTGTGCCACTGACCCCTACCACAAACATAGGCTTTGAGTAAATAAACTTTTGGCTTTGTTATTCTTGATTCCAAGTCATATTTTTTTTTAGTCATTAAGCTTGCCTTTTATTTCTGGTGTTTTAGGGCAAATTGAGAAGTTGCTACACTCCATGATTTCAAAAAATCTAGAAAAGTGTAACTTCCAACTCTTTTAAATGAGATGATATTTGTAAAGTGCTTTGCAAATTTTTTTCTCTATTAATTATTTATTTTTAGTTTTCAACATTCACTTCCACAAGATTTTGAGTTCCAAATTTTCTCCCTATCTTGTCCCTCCCCCCACCCCAAGATGGTGTGTATTCTGAATACTTCTTCCCCTAATCTGCCCTTCCCTCTGTCTTCTCCCCCTTTTCTTATCCCCTTCCCCTTCTATTTTCCTGTAGGTCGGGATAGATTTCTGTACCCCATTGCCTGTATATCATTTCCCAGTTGCATGTGAAAACAGTTTTTTTAACATTTGCTTTTAAAACTTTGAGTTTCAAATTTTCTCCCTTCCTCACTCCCCACCCACCCTCATTGAGAAGGCAAGCAACTCGATATAGGTTATACATGTGAAGTCATGCAAAACACTTCCATAGTAGTCATGTGAAAAACTAAGTACATATATATATATATATATTTTTTTTTTTTTGGCTAGGCAATGGGGTTAAGTGACTTGCCCAGGGTCACACAGCTAGTAAATGTTATGTGTCTAAAGGCCGGATTTGAACTCAGGTCCTCCTGAATTCAGGGCCGGTGCTCTATCCACTGCACCACCTAGCTGCCCCTGAAACTAGGTATATTTCCCTTAATGCTATCCTGCCCCCCATTTATTCTATTCTCTCTTTTGACCATGTCTTTCCTCAGAAGTGTTTGCTTCTGATTACCCCCTTCTCCAATCTGCCCTGCCCTCTATCATCCCCTTCCCCCTATTTTCCGTAGGTAAGATAGATTTCCATAGCCAATTGAGTGTGTATGTTATTCCTTCCTTAAGCCAAATCCAATGAGAATAAGATTTAGTCATTCCTTCTCATCTTCCCCCACCTCCTCTCCACTGTAAAAGCCTTTTCTTATATGTTTTACTAAGTCATATTTTCTTACATAATTTTTTCATTGATCTTGCTTCTGTTCCTACCTTCGTATTGAAGTCATCAATAATAAAGATATATATGTGTTAACTTAGGAGAAGCAGAGTGGTACAAAGAAAAGAGAATCCCATTTTTCTTGCCCATACCATTTCATGAAATAATGAGGTTTACAAAACACATAGGTAGTGCCGTGTGTACAAAGTACTGTACTAAAACTGAAGTTACAAAGACAGAATGTAAGTGCTGCTCTAAAAGTTCTTCTAGTGTAATCTGGGTGTAAGGAAATAAATAATCGTGTGATACGTGAGAAAAATCCAATTTCTGTTGCTTACTTGCTGTACCACCGTAGGCAAGTCACTCAACTTCCTTGGGCCTCAGTTTACTCATCTGTAAAATAATGGCTTGGGGAAATGGCCCTCTGGGACCCGTGAGTCTCAAAACTAGATCCATGATGATCCTATTTAGTTTGGAGGATTTTGTCAAATCATTCGTAGAATTTTTTTATTTCATCTTGTGCAAGAAAAAAAAACGGTGACACATGGGCCATAATTTCTCCTTGATGTGTAGTCTATTTACTAAATTCATCATAACCACTTGAAGGAAAGACAAGTGTCAAAACCCCGTGAAATGATACTTTTGTGTATCATTTTGAGTGCATGATGCACCAACCATGCCAACTCCTTTATTTGTGTCGTCTCCAAGGAGAACTTAGGAGCAACCTTTCCATTGTTCTACAACTTCATTTCTTCCTGTTTCATTTGTGTTGAGAATGTCCATTTGAACCGGGTTGTTTCTGCTAGTAGGGAATCAGCTTGTTGGTTTTAGATGAAGATCTCACATTTAATTGTTTTAGCCATATTAAATGAGTGTTTGTTAGATGATCCTAAGAACTGTGTGATTTTTAATACCTTTGATTCCTCTACCATTTTCCCCCGTCATTGTAAAAGAGGAACCATGCAGGTCTGAAGGCAGTTCTTCTCTCTTTATCTATTTTGAAAGTCACCATGGCCAAAAAATTCTTTACCTAGTATGGTCAGTATTCTGACTTCTCTGTACTTAGCTATACTGTTCCTTGCATAGCAGATGATTTCTGTCATTGGACCAACCTTCAGGACCTTGATAGTACAGCTTGGTAGAACCTGCCAAAACTTTGATTCTATTGACAACTCTCAGGAACCCAGGGTCACCTCCAGATCACAATAAGGCATCAGAAAGAATGGGGGCTATAAAAAACAAAACAAAACAAAACAAAAAAAGACACACTAGGTCATGGTCATGGCCCTGAAAGGTGTACTGTACATTGTATGCTTCTTGATCCAGATTGAGAAGTGAACTATACAAGCTGGGCAGGATTACATGCTTCTTCCTAGGAATTTGCCTAAATCAATCAATAGACATTTTTTTAACCCCTTCTATTTGCCTAGCCTTGTACCTAGCCACTGTGAGAAGGAGATACAAGTTAAAATAGAAAACACTGCCCCTGCCTTCAAGGAGATCATGATCTTGTTTGGGAGGCAAGGATATTCACAGAGACCAATACAAGACAGGAAGGAGGTATTAAGTGTCAATAAGCAAATAGGTATTGACATGCAGGGTCAGGCAACAAATTGTCTATTTGACCCAAAATCCTTTTGTCAATGGAGACCCCAAGTTGTATTTCTTGTCATGGTCTGGTATACTCTGTTGTGCATACCTTTTGAATCTATGGTTTCGGCTACCTTTAGGAATCATAGATGGCTGGGTCATTTCTAACCCTATTTTGAATTAAGTGCTAATAGGCAAATAGATATTGACTTACCAAGTCAAACAACAAACTGTCTGTTTGACCCAGGATCCTTTTCCCAACAGAGGCCCCATTTTTCTTGCCCATCTCATTTCATGGAATGATGAGGTTCACAAAACAAGCATGTAGTTGTAGTGCCTTGTGCATTAAAACTGAAGTTACAAAGAAAGTATGTAAGTGCTGCTCTAAAAGTTCTTACAGTGTAATCTGGGTGTAAGGAAATACATATAAATAATTGTGTGATACATGAGAAAATAACATAAGGACAAAGGATAGCCAGGCAAAGTGACAGGAGCCATTTGAGAAGGGACAAATAATCACTTTCACCCTGGGAAAGCAAGTCTGTACATGAAACAGACCAATTAAAGGCTGGAAATATTTAAACACTAATAGGCATGTAGGTATTACCACAATGGATCAAACAACAGTCTACTTGACCCAAGACTGTTGCCAATAGAGTTCTCAAGTTATATTTATTTCCCAGGGAGACAACCTGGTGGTTCCCTTTGTCAAGAAGGCTTCATGGTGGAGCTAGCAGTACCTGAAATGGACATTAGGACAAAGGACTACAACAGATAGAAATGGCAGTGAGTCTAGGCATAGGCAAAATCAAGGCAATGGGGAAAAGATGGGACAACAGTAAATGGAAAGTAATCCAGTTACCTAGAATGTAGAGCTTATAGAGGTGAGGAGTATGAGATAAGAGTGAACAGTTAGTGTGGAGCAGGATTGTGCAAAGGGGCTTGAATATTAGAGTCAGCTCAGATCATATCTAGTAGACAAATTTATTATCTGCAGTCTGAAGAAAGACTTAGTTTTATGTGTCCTAAACTTACTGTTTTTCATCTTTGTGTTTCAGAACATGATGAATAGGCCCATGTCAGTTAAAACTAGGCAAGACAGAGTTTCATCTTTTTAGATTTTAATTACGTTCCCTCTCACTTTTAACGTTTACAGGTTGAAGAGTTCTGGTGTGTTTTTAGTCTGTTCTTTTATGTCAGTCGACTACAACCCACTTTTCCTCTGATGAAAATGGTTTTTCTGTACCTGTTCTGGGTGTGTTATGATTTTCTCTTCACCAGTCAAAAAAAAAAAATTCCACATTAGAGCAGGTTGGGGTGTTATGATAGCTTTACATGGGAGGGCAGAACTAGAAAGTATTATGCTTAAGGCAAATTCAGTTGGGAGAGAAGGTGGACAGTGGCAGTCAGAGGACAGTTATGCAGTTGAGCCAGAAAAGGGCTGCGTCCTGTCCCCCAAAGAATTCAGCCTATCATGCCATTGATTAGAGGGAAAGGCAGAGGGAGGAGACCACCACAGGAAGGGAATTTAGATGTGGCAAAGGCTGAGGAAGATAAGGAGATTGAGAAGCACATAGGACAAATGCTGCTGTTCCAGGATAATTTGTGCCCTGGGACAAAGCCTTGTGGCCCTGTGCTATATTTGTGGCTCTGCATGAGAATAAGATAATATTTTCTGTTTTTCCTTTTGATGAACTTCTGAGAGCTTCTGTTAGTGGCAGCAATATATACAAATTGGGCTAGAGTTCTCAAAGATTAGTTTACTGAAACCTCGGGGCTTCTTTCCTAAATCATCTGCTTCACTCATCCCATTCAGAGAGGATATATCAACAATCACTCCCAGCTATGCGATAGTGGAGTCAAAAGGCCACCAAGTTCAATTATCCTCCCTGCAGCCTCTTGCCATTATTACAAACTGGGAACCTCCTAGGATTGCATAGGGTTTTTTGTGAAACTTCCTCAGGGCAACCAAAAAAAAAAGATTTGGAGACTGCAGGGAAGATGTGCTCTAAGAAAACGGGGTCAGAATGACACGGCTTATCCTGGCGGGGTGAGGTCAGCAGGGCTGTGCCTGCTGCATGCTCTGCCGCCCGCTGTCATTCACAGCACGCGACTCTCTCTGTGCTAGTCACATTCACGGCCTTTAATAAAGTCCTCTCGCGAGACTTCTTCCAGAGCAGATGGTCCTCTGAGGCCTGTTGCGGGGCAGAGGACCCGCCCCGGATGCTGTGACTCTAGGCTTTAGATGGTACAGCTCTTCTATTGGCCCAGGGAGGACGAGGAATCAGGAGGCGGCCATTTCTAACGAACGGGAGCTAGGGGCGGAAGATGGCGGAGGCTCTGCAGAATTTTCTGGAGGACGAGAATACAGTGTCTTTCGCCTTCCGACAACTTCGGGACGTAATTGGGTCTCAGGAGCAAGTGATCCACCGGCTGAAAAGCACGGTGCGGACCCTGATAGGCAGGGGGCGGGGCCGACCCCAACGTCACAATGGGAAGGGCGGGGCCTAATAGGAAGGGCGGGGTGGGGGCGGGACAGAAGGCGGTGCCCGAGCGCCCCATTCTTTGGTGTCGGCAGGGGCGTGGCCAATGGCCGAACCTCTCTTTGGCAAGGCAACTGCCTGAGAATCTTTCCGTGGAATGGACCAGCCTGTCTGGCACTGCGCCCCATCGCGCCCCACAGCCCTCACAGCTCCTCCCCAGAGTTTCTGTGCACCTGTCTCCAGTCCAGGCTCGTCGTTCTCCGCCCCCATGATACCTACATTCACAGCAGTCTGGCTCTCTTTGTCTACGGCACCCTGCGCGGGCGCAGAGCTCCACCCACCCCTCCCCACTCCCCCATCTTATCCCGAGGTGCTCGCAGGGGCTCGTAGACCTTGGCCGGGCGGTCTACCCAACACGCCGTGCGCGTCCTACACCAGTGGGTTACACTGCAGGCTTGGAGCTGTCTGTCACCCACTCAGTCATTCCTGTGCATGATACGTTTTATCCTAGCTATCCGTGTAGGAATAGGGCCTTGAGAGGGGTTTCATTTCAGTTCCCCTGTAAGGAAAACCCTCTCTATTAAAGTCGGTCAGCAACATCTTTGTGCTTTGGATCAGTCAGTCAGTCAGTAAACAGTATTTGTGAAGCACATGCTCTGGGTGCCAGGCACTGTGCTTTTAAGGGCTGGGGATAAAAAGAAAGGCAAGCACGCTCAAACTCGGGGAGCTCACATTTTAATGGGGGGAGAGGAAACAATAATAGCTACATACATGCAAGATATATATGTATATGTACGTAAGCTATACATCTATACATATATGCACATACATAAGGTAGCTGGAAGGTAATCTAAATTAAGTACCTCAATAGCTGGGAAGCCCAGAAAGGCCTCTTGCAGAAGATGAATTTGAGGTGAGTCTTAACAGGAAGCCAAGGAAACTTGAGAGGTCAGAAAGGTGAAGGGGACAAAGCACTCCAGGCATGGGGCACAGCCAGTGCCTAGCCCCAGATTATAGAGCTTTCCTGGAGAGGAGTAAGTGTAAGGAGACAAGAAAGAGGTAGGAAGAAACTGGATTATGGAGAGCTTTGAATGCCTAAATAGGACTTCATATTTAATCCTAAGGCAATAGCGAGCCATTGGAGTTTATTGAGGGGGGAGGGGGAATGACATAGACCTATGTTTGTTGTTTTTTTAATCACCTTGTGAATTGAGTGAAGGATGAATTGGAGTAGGGAGAGGAGGCAGGGAAAACAATAGTCTAATAGGCTAATAGTCTCAGAGATGTTGACAATGAACTAAGGTGGAAGCTATATGAGTGGAGAGAAGGGGAGTTCTATGAGAGGTATTGTGACAGTATAAGCTACAAGATTTGGCAATGGACTGGGTATGTGTGACAAAATGCAAGTAAGGATTTGATGATGACACTAGGCCTATGTGACTGAGAGAATGGTGGAGCCCATATAGTAATAGGGAAGTTGGGGAGAAGGGAGGTTTGGGGAATACTGATAATGGGCTCTATTACTTGGGAATCATATGCCTACAGATGCCTCTCAGTCTCTACAGCACTGAAAAATTAAGTGATTTGCTCAGGGTCTCACACAGCCAGTATGTGTCAGAAGTGTGACTTGAACCCAGGAGTCTTCCTGGCTTCAAAGTCAGTTTATCTATTCTGCCAATCTGACGTTTATTCCAGTTATTCCCCTAAAAGTCATCTTTGCAACATGCAGTGAGCCTGGGTATTTGAAAAGCTATCACGGAGGAGGGGGATTAGTTTTGTTCACCTTGGACACAGCTGTCAGAACTAGGAACAAAGGGGAGGGAGCAGGGGTGGGAGTGGGATTAGAGTTACAGGAAGGAAATTTTATTCTTAATATAAGAAAAACTTTTTAGATAGTAAGAGTTGTTCAAAGTAGAATGGGCTGCCTTGGAATGTAGTGAGTTCATTCACTAGAAGTTTCTTCAAGTAGAAGCTTGAAAATACCTACATAGATAGGACATGTGCTTTCTTTTTCAGTCGGGGGTTAGACTAGAAGAGCTTTATGGTCCCTTCCAAGTCTGCAATACTATGATGCTACATTCACCATTATCCTTTGGGTCACTTATGATTTTGATTCTGAAGAGACATGGTTTGGAGTCCTGTATAGCATCACCAGAAGGATGAGATGGGATAGGACAAGACCTATTATAGTATAGGGAACTCCCCATGAAGAAATTTCTTCCACCAATGCAAATTAGCACCTGCTCAACATTGGAAAATTGCCTTTGGGAGTTGCATGTATGAATGTAAGAATACTGGTATTGAAAAGATAGACTTTTGTTTCAGGGAGCTGCTGGAGGTGTTGAAAGTGAAGCATAATTTTCCCAATGCATTCCACCTTGCACCCCCTCCTGTTCAACTCTATCCATTTCACTGTCTTATTAGCAGTGCTTATTCAAGATGGAGTAACTTGGTAGGCTGCCCATCCATTATAATCTGGTCAATACCCATTTTCTTTTTTAAAAGGAAGTAACATTTTATTTTTCAGCTAACAAGCAGTAGTTTTACCTCCCCCTCATACACACCCCCAAAAGAAAAAAAGAAGAGAAAAACAAAACTCCTGTAACAAGTATGCATAATCAAGAAAAATAAATTCCCACATTGGCCATGCCCAAACCCATATTTCTCATTCTGTACTCTGAGTCTATCACTTTTCAAGAGATGGGTAGGACACTTATCATTCCTCTGTAACTGTGATTAGTCATTGCATTGAACAGAGTTCTTAAGTCTTTCCAAGTTATTTGCTCATATTGTAACTATAAATTTTTCTTCTGGTTCTGTTCATTTCACTCTGCATCAGTTCATACAAATGTTCCCAGGTTTCTACCAATACGCATTTTCCATCCTACAGAATCTCCTTGGATTTTTCTGTGCAAATTACTGAGCCAATCTTTTTTTTTTTTTATTGAATAGCGTTGGATTTCATTTAGGATGGCACTTCAGAGCATAGGCCATTTGCAGACAGGACTACCTGGGGCATTTCCCCATCTATAGAGAATCCTCTTTCATTAGGACTTTGGTTGGGGTCTCTCCTCAATGACATAGTCAAGCATAGTTCCCTGTTTTGTTGCCTCATTTGCTATAATCAGAATCATTAAATGAAAAGTAATTTCTGTGGTTCCATCTACCTGGTAAGGAATCTTCTATAATCTTAACATATGCACAAGAGACACTTTGTTGGAAAAGTGCTGCATTTTGCTCTACCAAGTCAAATGCTCTTTGTAGTCAGCAAACAGTGGATATAGTGGTATCTTGTATTCTTTATATCTACAACTATATTCTTGCTATGGAAAAATATCTATGAAAAGCCTGCCTGTTGCCTTATTGTATTTTCTTCAAGGCTATCCCGGGTGCATATGGAAACATTCTCATAAAGCTTTTATAAAGATTAGAATATAGACATTGCTGTTGTTGTTCAGTTGTATGCGACTCTTTGTGACACCATTTGGAGTTTTCTTGGCAAAGATACTGCAGTGGTTTGCCATTTCCATTTCCTTACCAGCTCATTTGACAGATGAGGAAACTGAGGTAAACAGTTAAGTAACTTTCCCAGGGTTACACAGCTAGTAAGTGTCCCATGGCCAGATTTGAACAAAGAAAGAAGAGTCTTCCTGACTCCAGGCCTGATGCTCAATCTACTGTGCCACCTAGTTGCCTAGAATATAAACATGTGAGTTAGTAATTGCTGATGTTCTTCTCCATCATCTTTTTTTTGGTAATAACTCTGTGATTTTTTCCTCTTTTTAAAGATTTTGAAAATTGATCCCTGAGGGCCTTTAAAATTGTCTCATCTCCATCAAGGATTTCTTCTTGGATTTGGTGGGGTCCAGCTGATTTTAAAGACTTCACTTCATCTTCTTAAATTCTTTATATATTACATCAGATACTATGATGTTAAGAGTCTAGATGTGGGGGGCAGTTAGGTGGCGCAGTGGATAGAGCACCGGCCCTGGATTCAGTAGGACCTGAGTTCAAATCCATCCTCAGACACATAACACTTACTAAGCTGTGTGACCCTGGGCAAGTCACTTAACCCCCACTGCCCAACCAAAAAAATAAATAAATAAAAGTCTAGATGTAGCAATTCCATATGGATGACCAGTCATTTCCTGTCTGTCCATGAAAATGAAATTCATCTTTTTGTGATATTGTTTGGTACTCACCTGTCTAGAACTTTGACTTTTTTTTCTGGCTCCCTTCTGGAAGAAAATACTCATGATATAGATAGTCAGGGGCTTCTGAGTAGTCTATGTGCCCTTGATCTCTTTTCATTTCTTAATCCCAAACCTCACTGAAGTCACTGAGTATTTGCTGACTTTGTTTTAAGGATCTCCTCAAGTTCTTTATATAATTTATTTCTTCATCCCTTGCAGCAAGTGTGTTGGCATATAAACTATAAATTATCTTCCTAGTGGTCGTCTTGCTTATTCTCATCATGAGCATCAGAAACTGAGATGCAAAATGATGCTTCTCATTGCCCATCCCATTCTCAAATTGCCCCTTCCAAAGATCTTCCATTTATTCCCATGCCTTCCTATCCCTTCTAATCTCCTATTCAGAAAGGGAGTCTAGTAGCATAATGGAAAGAACCCAAAAATTAGTTGTCAGAGGACCTGAGGTCAAGACCCAGCCTCCTTGGGCAAATCACTTTTCACCTCTTGGTCTCAGTTATTGAATCTATAAAGTGGGGTAACAGTCGTACCATGCCTACTGCATTGAAGATCTGGTGAGGATCACATGAGAATGTAGAGATGAAAGTGACTCTGGAAATCCTCTAGTCCAGCTTTACAGGTGAGGAAATTGAGGGCTCAGCAAAAGTGAAGTGACTGACCCAAAGTCCCACGGGTAATAAATAGCAGAGCTGGCATTCAAACCCAGGTCCTTAGATCTCCATATCCAATGTTCTTTCCTCTACACAATGCTTGCTATGCAAACAGATGGAAAAACATTTTTCATTCAATCAACAAGCAATTTTAAGTGCTTAGTGGGTGCTAGGATACAAAGAGGGGAAAATGAAACAGCCTCTACCTTCATGGAGTTTATACATTCTATCAGAGCAGAAAATATTACACCTTCTATGCATATATATAAACCATATAGACATATATACTTACACACCAAATATATATACTTCTACAAACTAAAAACCATGGTCTCCAACCTTTATAATTATATTCTGCTATTGTAATGCCAAGCCTTTCAACCAGTCCAAGCTATGACCTAAAAAGGATGGGGGATAAATTGTAAAGTACTTTCTCTCTATGTATACGAGATTAGTGTTAATATTCCCAAACCATTCATTAGCTGCTCCCATCCTACATCCCCTTATTCCCTTTTCTCCTCTGGCTTCCAAGACCTTTTTGGTCTCTGGGCTTTAATTCTCTCCCAACCCTGTGGCTGCATTGCAGATGGCCATCCAGGAAGAGAAATTTGTGAGTAAAGAAGAGTACGAAGCTGTGGTAAAGAAGCTGGAGGTAAGAGGGCCCTTCCCTCTGCTTCTTCCCATCCCTGGGAGTGGGGGTGGGAGGACAAGGGAACAATAGAATAGGAAGAAAAAAGGACTGGGATCTTTGAGATCTTTTACCCATAGCCACATGGGGGCAGGACACTAAGAGCCCTCCCCCAGACAGGAAATGCTCTGATCTCTCCAGGGCTCCAGGCAACCCCAGAGTTAGACTCATCTGGTTGGGGGGGGGGGTAATGTTAATTGAGGGATCTGTGATTATAGGAGGAAAAGGCAGCCCATGCCCAGACCAAGGGCTTATTGGCCAAAGAGACAGAAAAATTACAGTTTGCTCTTGGACAGGTGGAGGTGCTGTCCAAGCAACTGGAGAGAGAGAAGCAAGCTTTTGAAAAGGCGTAAGTGGGTTCTGTGGGAAAAGGGGGGATGGAGTAGAGGGGAGTGCCAAGAAACCAGTTGCCTCCCCCACTCACTCAGACATCTCATCCTTTCCAATTTAGGTTATCCAGTGTCAAAAACAAAGTTCTGACAGAGTCCACCAAGAAGGACAAGCTTATCACCAAGTGCAATGGTAAGGGGGAAGGCCCAACCATTTTCCCTAAAGAGGAGGACAAACCCAATCCTTGTTGGGCCATGGGGAATGAACAAGGGGACTGAAGAAAAACTAGAGACCAGAACAGCTAAGACAAGTAGCTAGAGAAATGGATACATTATTAACTGGTATTTAGATTGAAAATGAAGATATTAGAAAAAGCTAATGGGATCCGTACACAGTAGCAGCAGTACTATAAAATGAACAACTGCGAATGACTTAGCTATTCTAAGCAATACAATGATCCAGGATAATCCCAAGAGACTCATGAAGAAAATTGCTATCCACCTTCAGAGAAAGACTGATGGGAGTCTGAATGCAGATGGAAGCATACTATTTTTCGCTTTCTTTCTCTTTTTTTTAGTTGGAGTTTTCGGCCACAAAATGACTAATATGGAAATGTTTTACATCATTGCACATGTATAACCTATATCAGATTGCTTACCATCTCAGGGAGGGGAGGGAAAGGAAAGGGACAGAATTTGGAACTCAAAACTTAAAAAACAAAACAAAACAATGTTTAAAATTGTTTTTAACATATAATTGGGGGAAAATACAGTAGTATTTAAAATGCTAATTTGATCTTAGGATACATTAAGAGAAGGAATAGTACCCAGAATATTGATAACTATCACTAAGTACTAACCCATGGAGCCTACTTTGCTAACTCTACCAAGTCTTGATGAAAATAATCTACACATGCATAGAGAGGGCATCCTTAATGAAGGTGTGAGAAAGAAATGACATCCTATAGCAGCTCATGTCTTCAGCATCACACAATTAACTGGAAAGTCCAAGGAATGAACACAAAATCCCATTGTGCTTATTCTTTGGGAGTATAAACAAGTATGTGATTTATTGGAGCAAAATGCCACCTTAAAAAAAGCTTTCCACTAATAAGGGAGGTCTCCCATGCCCAAGTCAAAATCTTGCAAGATTCCTTGGAAGATGTTGTAACAAGAGTAGTAACTTTGTTTGACCCCCTGAAATATTAATATCAAGTAATGCATAAAACTGAGACTACTTGTTGGCCACCACCATGAAGAATATCTCACACAAGAGCCCAAATCAAAGAGGGGCCACCTGTAGCAGGAGAGATCCAGACACAACAGTGGGAGGGAGCCCTTCAAGATAGAGAAGGGTCTAGGGGTGCCCCTGTTTACAGATGACATTCTGCTACAAGGAAAGCCATTGACCTGGACCCATCCAGGAGAGAGAGACAGAGAGCGCAGGGTCATGCTGGGATTTGAGAACCATAAAACAATGACTGACATGTATCTGGTGCTTTAATGAAGCACTCTTTCATTATCTCAAATCTAGGATGAAGTAGGAGGTATTATTAGCTCCATTTTGCAAATGAGAAAATTGGAGCTCACAGAGTTTTGAGGGTCACACAGCTATTAAAATGGGATTGGTGCTTGTCATTATTCAGTCATTCAGTTGTGTCCCACTCATTATGAGGCCATGGACTATAGCATGCCAGTACTGTGCATGGGATTTTCTTAAAGGCAAGGATACTGGAATGGTTTGCCATTTCCTTCTCCAGCTGGATTAAGGCAAACAGAAGTTAAGTGACTTGGCCAGGGTCACTCAGCTAGTACATATCTGAGGTAGGATTTGAACTCAGGTCTTCCTGACTCCTGGTTCTATACAGGACTCTATCCACTGAGCCACCTAGCTGCCTCAGGCTTGGAGCTTATGTCTTCCTAACTCCGTGTCCAATACTGTATCTCCTCTAGCATGCTGTCTTCCTGTGACTAGAACACAGGAAGATTAGTTGAAAGAACTAGATATGGTTGGCCTTGAGAAAAGAAGACTCAGGAGGGGGATGGTGTGATAGCTGCCTTGAAGGGCTGTCATGAAGAAAAAAAATTCTTTTGGCCCCAGAGGCAGAACTAAGCACCATTGGTGTAAGTTGCAGAAGCAGATTCCATCTACAAGAAAAAACGTCCCAACAATTAGAGCTATCCAAATTAGAATGGGATGACATAAGCATTCATGGGTTTCTCTTCACTACAAGAGATCTTCAAGTGAATACTGGACATCTATTTGTTGGGGATGTGCTGTGCTCAGTGCTTCCCAGTCTTTCTTGGTCCTGTACTTTCCCATGCCCTCTATTCATTATGAAAGGAAATAAATCCTAGAGTTGACCATGCATATGCACATAAGAAATCAGATAGAGATTAATTTTTCTTCTCACTGGGTACACCAAAAATTTTGTAACTTCATTGATTGGCATGAACTTTAGTTTGGAGTTTCTGGAATATTCCACTTGAATAATACAGTTATTTAATAAAGATTCCCCATTCCCCTGTCCTTGGCAGGCTTTCTTGTATTCCATGAGGGTGGGAGGCATGCATACCCTAGGCTGGGAACCCCTCTGTACATGTTGTACAAGGCCAAATATGGACCGGAATGGCCAACCTCTGAATTCCCTTCCAACTCTATAACAGACAAAGTGTGAGATAGCAAGACCTCGGTTCAGATCTTGTCTCCATTACTTACTAGCTGTGTGACTCTGAACCTAGTTATTTACCTGCTTTAGTTTCCTTGCGATAAAGTGAGGACAATAATAGCCCCTCCCTCACAGCGTTGCTGTGAGACCCAAGTGAGGTCATGTTTATAAGCACTTTGCACACACTAAAGTGTAATGTTAGTTATTTAATAACATTTATTATTTCCCTGAAACTCACCCCCCTCCAGACTTACCTATTTCTGTCAACGGCACCGTCATCCAGGTTCATCTCCTCAGAGTCAGTCTTGCCTCTTCCATTACCCTCACGAGCCCCCAGATTCAATCAGTTGTTGAATCCTATTAGCTCCCCAGAACACCTGCCTCTTCGGTTCATTCCCTTCTCTCCACTGACTTAGCCACTTAGACCCTAATATAGACCTTTACCAACTTTTGCCAAGACTACTGAAATGGCCTCCAAACAACTCTCTGCTTTCCAATCTTTCTCTTTTCTAATCTGTCTTTCACACCACAGCTATCAAAATAATTTTCCTAAAGCAGACTCTGCTCATAAACTTTTTAATGTAAATAGCATTTTATCTTTTCCTATTGCATGTAAAGATAGTTTTCAACATTCATTTGTATAAGATTTTGAGTTCCAAATTTTTCTCCCTCCTCCTCAAAATGGCAAGCAATCTGATATAGTTATACATGTGCAATCAAGTTAAATATAGTTCCACATTAGTCATGTTGTGAATAAAGAAACAGAACAAAGAGAAGGCAAACAAAAAAAAGTGAAAACAGTATGCTTCGATCTGTATTCAGATTCTATCAGTTCTTTCTCTGGATGCGGATAGCATTTTCCATCATGATTCTTTTGAAATTGTCTTGGATCATTGTACTGCTGCTTTGCTCATAAACTTTCAGTGACTGTTGCCTCTAGGATAAAATATAAACTACTTAAATGACATTAAAGCCCTCTGTAAGCTGGCTGTACCCTAATAATATTATTACTCTTCCTGAACATTCGAACTCAACCGAATTCCTAATTGTTCTCCAAACACAAACCCTCCATGTCCTCACTGTACTTTCACACAAGCTGATCTCCATGCCTGGAATGCCTTCCCTCCTTTTCTCCCTCCTCCTCTTTGTCATGTCTTTGTCAAGGCTCAGCTCAGAGACACAACAGAGATGCTGTCTCCACTGTGAAGCTTGTTTTCCCTGATTCCCCCCATTGTTAGTCTTCCCTCTCCCTCATCAAATGGCCTTCTTATAGACCCTCATCCCCAGGAGAATGTAAACTCTTTGAGGACAGGGACTTTCATTTGGCTTTTGAATCTTCAGCACCTTCCATAGAGTCACCCAGAAAACAGATGCTTAATCAATATTTGTTGAATTGAATTGAAGATTGGAGAAGGGGTAGGTTTCTGGAGGAAGATGAGTTCACTTTTGGACCTATTGAGTGTGAAATGCTGGTGAAGCAACTGGGTCGGTATGTCTGGCAGGCAGATGGAGATGTGCTGAACTAGCGTTCAGGAGAGAGATTAGGGGCTTGAAGAGAGTGATCACGATGGTCATTTAACGTGTGGCTGGAGTGCTTAGCACAGTGCTTGCTGGCACATGGGAGGAACTTCATAAATGCTTACTGATTGACTGGAACAGATGAGGTCAACTTGGGGACATCCCAAAGCAGTGACTCACAGCTCTCATTAGTGGAAAGAGCTGTGCCAAAGTGGGTCTTTACCTGGATTTGGGAAATGAATTTCTGTTCATCATCATCTTACGCAATTCTTGTTAACTAGGTGGACAACCATGGGCTAGATGGATGAATCACCAGACTCCATAGAGGCATCATTAGTGGGTTGATGTCAGAAATCTCTTGAAGTGGCTGAAGAATCTTACCTGTGTTGGAGACTGTGGTGGTTAACATTTTTTTTTTAATCAGTGACTTGGATGAAAACATGTAGGTAGCATGTTAATTAGATTTGCAGATGACACAAAGCTAGGGCAAAGGACATTTATGTTGGATGACAGAATCATGATTCAGAAAAGAGCTCGTCAGACCATGTATAACAATGGTCTTAATATAAGATTTTGGAATCTAATAGGGATAAATGTAAAATCCTTTACTTGAGTTTAAAAGAATTGGCTTTATAAGATGAGGATGGAAGAGGCATAGCTAGATAAGACTGCCAATGAAAATGCTCCCGTGGGGAGGGCTAGAAGACTCCAGGCTCATGAGGTATGTTATGAGGCAACAGTTTGATACTGTAACCAAAAGAAGTGATGTGATATTAGGCTTCAGGGTCCAGGACGGTGAAGGTGATAAGGCTTCAGAGTCCAGGACGATGAAGGTGATAGTCTCACTGTATTCTGCCCTGATTAGCCCAAATCTAGAGTCCTAGCCAACAAGTTTGAGCCATTCCAGAGGTTGAGATAGTCAGGATAATGAGGGCACTGGAGATAATGCAATATGAAGACTGGGGTTGTTAAATCTGGAGGTAAGAAGACTTACATGGAAGGGAAAGAATCATTGTTTTCAAATATTTTGGCTGCTGTCATATAGGGACAGCGTGAGATGAGAACCTATGGTTGGCCTCAGAACAAACCTAGAATCAGTGCATGGAAGGGATATAGAGAAACAATGAAACTCCACATAGGGGAAACCTTTCTTTTTTGGGGGAGGGGAACCTTTCTAACAATTAGATCTTTCCAAAAGTGGAATAGGCTGCCTGGGGAAATAGTGAGTTCCCCTCTCCTGGAAACCCAGGGATGTTATAGAACATGTTGTTTTTTCAGGTGTGGACAAAAGGATCTCTGATACCCCCTCCAGATCTGAGATTTTGTAATTTTGTTTAACCCACACTCCTGGGCAGGCCTCCCAACTTGCCAACATTTTGGCTTCAAGATACCAGAAAAAAAAAATTTAAGAAACATCAAAAAGGCAGAATTTTATGATTCCAGTCAGAGTTAACAGTACAATTTGAAGTCAGAAGGCCTGAGTTCAAATCTTAGCCCCACTACTTAACTATTTTTGTGACCTGGGGCAAATCATTTTCCTTCAAGGAGCTTCTGTTTCCTCCTCCATAAAATCCAATTTTCTTAATTTCTGAGTGGGCTGGTTTATTTAAGGCTCCTCCTATCTTTAAATTCTATGATCTGCTGCTCCTCTTTCCAGGTGCCCAAGGTTCCATAAAGGTCCAGGTTGCTGCCTGCCATGGTGCCAGGCCTTGGCCTCTGTACATCCTCCCCTAGTAAGGCCCCACATCTTCCTGACCTTAGGCCTTTTCACTGCATCTAGAGGTCTGGAGTTTTCCCCAGAATCTCCAGGAAAGAAGCCTGACATCATTCCTTGTTAAACCAATGACTTCTTTTATAAGCAGCACAAATAGAGTGAGCTTTTTTTGATTGTAAAAGGGTTAGCTTGGAGAGGGGTCTTCTCTCTCAGGTGGACCCACTCTTTGCAGCTGAGTTACTTCTAGGAAAGCTCATTCACAGGGAGGTATAGAAATGTCTGAAGTTTGAAAGAAGACCCTGGTGAGGTAGTACTTAATTCCAAAGAAATTACCCTAATTCTGAGATTTCAAGCATTCATTCCTCTGTTCCCGGGACCCTAGTCTAGGTGTTTGATACCTCTCTCCTTCACTTCAGAAATTGAAAATCACATTATAAAGCAAGAAGATATTCTTAATGGGAAAGAAAATGAAATTAAGGAACTACAGAACGTCATCAGCCACCAGAAACAGATCTTCAGGTAAGGAATTTGGATCCTCCTTCAGGTAAGGGGTTTGGATGTCTGGGGAGGAACCCGGGTGTTGAAGGGGGAGGGAGGCACTGACTCTCCAACCTCCCGGATGGTTCCTGCCCCAGCAGCTGTCTCAGGCCCATCCCATGGGTCTCTGTTGCAGGCATCAGATATCGGACTTCCGGATTCAGAAGCAGCAAGAGAATTACATGGCCCAAGTGCTGGACAGGAAGCAAAAGAAGGCAGGCGGGCTGCTCTCCACCCGGGGCTTCAAGGGACTTGGAGACAAATAAATCTGCTTCCACTTACGTCTTTTCTCGGTCCTGACCTAAGAGCTCTCTCCTAGGCCTATTACAATAGTCCCTCAACCTTTCCCCTTTTACTGGATTTATCCACTTAAGTTGGGCTCAATCCGACCCTGCCAGGATGGTCAAGGAACCTCACTTTAGCCTCCTTTCCTCTCCCTGGTTCCCCTTGGGAAGGAGATCTTAAGCAGACGGCAGGCCCTTCCTGACCAGGCCTGGGAAGCATGCGTGGGATAGAGGGTGGGGCTAATAGGACATGACCTGATTCTGGCATTCGCCCCTGCACCTGCCACACTGGACCCAGCACTCAGAGCTCAAACAGAAAACTGGCCAGAGAAGAGATACTAAGATTAAACACTCTCCCACCCTACTTTCTTTCTAGATGGATCTCCGGAGTTGGTAGGATGTAGGGGGCTGAACTGTAGCCTATGCAGAAGTGTTGAGCTCCCAGGATTTGGGGGGTCGGAGGGGGAATTACCTTGTCCGATGGCTGCCCCACCCTTGTTTGGCCCCTCCCTACATAAGCACTCCCAGTTACTCTGGTAACCCTCCCCCACCCCCACCCCAGGGTTAAGTTAACTTGCTTAATTTAGCTTCCAGAGCTGGGGAAGCTTCTAGGCTGGAAAATGATGGGGGAACACTAATTGGGAACTTCCCAATGCAAGGTCTCACGACCCACAGCAATAGAAAGCTCTGTCCTGAAATGGATCTTTATCTGGATTTCAAAATTAATTTCTTATATTATTCATCATCATCTCTTACATATGTTTAATATTTCATTCAAAGTATCTGCACAAACATTATCAAAGGATCTTCAACCCTTAGCATTATGATTATGACTTGCCCAAAGTAATGCCATTAGGTGCAGAATTATTCCTGACCTAGGTGGCCAAGGCCTGGGGTGCATAAAAAAAAATACAAACTATATATAATAGATATCTATCTGTGGATCTGTCCCCTTCCAGGTGCTTAACGTGCAATGGAAATGGTAAATGTGCGTCAGGAGAAAAGTTTGAAATCCTCGGGGCCCCTACTTTCCTATTAAGCAAACCCAGAGAGTAACGGCATATTTAACTCTGATAAATGCAGATTCTGACTTGCAATGAATTTCAGACTGGTTTTGAATGCCACTGCCTTGATCCTCATGCCTCCTCAGCGTTTGTCAATGTCTAAAGCTTCCCCACTTTGCTACACTGTAGCTGGCTGTAGCCGGTCAGAGGAGTCAGGGTCTGGAACACTCAGTACTGAACAGCAAAGGGCCTGCTGATAGGACTTTTAAAGCTTTAGGACAAGAAAGGCAGCATTAGGAGGAATAAAGGGCAATACTCCTTTATTTACTATGTGTGTGTGTGGGGGGGGGAAGACAACGATAAATTCACAACAATTTTTACTCTCAAGAGTGTGCTGGGTTTAAACTTCGTTATATCTGAGTTGTTCCTTAAGAGTCCTCCTCTATAAAAGGAATCGAATTAATTGACCTCCAATGTTCCTTCCAAAAACACTCTCTGAAGTTTGGGACCTTCTTCAGATAGCAAGAGGCTGTGTGGAAGAAATCTGGGGCTATAAAAACACAATTCATGTTCCCAAAACCAAACCAAACCGAAATGCATTCTAGCTCCCCTTCCCCCAATACCTCCACCTCCAAGGTCGATGCAAAGAGGTTAAACTTTTTCTTCGCTTTCCTCTCGACCCCACCCCCACCCCCATTCCAACCTGGCCCAGGAATTCAGCCCAGCTTTGGGAACTTGGGCCCTGGATGGCTGTGGATGTCTTGAGCCACCTATATTTACTTTCTTAAAAGTTCTTTCACAAATGATAACATGAAAAGGAGAGGTCTCACTCTACTCACTCGTTTATGCAGAAATTAAGGAAGCTTTCCTCTACTTAATCTAATAGGATGGAGTGTGCGTTGGTAACTAGCAAGGGAAGGTTGGGGTAGGGGGCGGAGATGCCAGAGACACAAAAGTCCAAGCCTGAAACTCAGAATTTAGAATTGGAAGTGCCCCGGTGCCCCGCAGGTGTTTCAAAGAGACACCTTCAGGGACCCTTTCGCTTTCTGATATCGGTTCCCTTGGGGGGGGATCCCCTGTCTTAGCCTCCAGCTGGGGTGCCCTGCCACAGTTCACCCCCCAGCCGCATTATTATCCCCGGTCTGGTCTCAGCTCCTCCGGGACGGCCAAAGCAGGGAGCAAATGGGCCGGGAGGGGAGGGGAGGGTGGAGGAAGGCACTACTGGCCGTAGCCAGCCGGGGCAGCCGCTGGCTCGGGTTCAGACGCGGCCTCTTTAAGGCGCTGTGACCCGGCCGTGCCGGGACCCCGGGGCGGGGTGTGCGGGCAGGGGACAGAGCGGCCGGAGGCGGCGGCGGAGGCGGCGAATTTCTGCGCGTCCCGAGCCCCGGCCCCAGTCGCAGCCCGCCCGTACCATGCTCTCCATCCTTGTCCCGCCGGCCACGGGCGGCTTCCCCTCGGCCCTTGCGCTGCGCCAGGACTCCTCGGGCTCCTCTGGCTCTTACCACACCGCGCCAGGCTCGCCGGAGCCCCAGGGGCCGCGCCCCGTCCTGGACGGGGCGGACGATGACGGGGGCAGTGGAGTTCCTGGGCGGGGGCAACCGGCAACGTTTGCGGGCCAGAACGCCAGGGTCCCTGGCGGGGGGGCGGGCCAAGCCAGGAGCGGGGGCTCGCAGCTTCGCCTGTCCATCAGCGCCCAGAATAGCCGCCAGGAGCCTGGATCCGGTTTCCCCAAGAGGCCGGGACAGCGCCCGAGCCCTTTCCAGCTCCGCACCCTGCCGTCGGGGGAGATGGAAGTGATCTTTACAACCGGGCCCCTAGGTGGGACTCCCGTTCAGTCCCCCAGCGTCTCGGACGAGGCGGACAGCGAGGTGCAGCAGCTCACCGCGCTCAGCTTGCATGATTTGTCCCGCCCTCAAGGCCCTTACCTCGACGTGCATAGCCCCAGCGCGCAGGCCTCCTCCAGCCCATCCCCAGCTCTCTCTGACAGCAGCAACCAAGCAGACCGCTGGGCCACTTACCTGGACCTGCGTCAGGAGGCTGAATCTTCTGCCTCAAGACTTCCAGAACCCCCCGCCACGTCCGGGAGAACCCAGTTCGAGTGCGTGGAGGTTGCACTTGAAGACCAGGCATCCCCGACTACGCAGAGAACTGTCCCCAAGAGGCAGATAGAGCTGAGGCTGAAGCCGAGCCCTCCGGAGCTGGATTCAGCTGGGACTAATGGGGTCCCCAGGCGCAAACTGTTTCAGCGAACCGGTTCGCTGGACGAGTCTCTGACACGCCTGCAGGCCGCCTCCAACCTCGTGCAAACAGCACTGGCCAGGAAGCTGCAGACCGAGCAGACACTGCGCCCAGAACAGTCAAGCCCAGGGGGCGGAGCTCAGCCCATCCAGACCCCGCCAGGTCCACGGCTCCGTTCCGACTGCGATACCCAGAAGCCGGCGGATTGGCCCCTGGCTTGGCCTGAGGCCCGGGAGAGCGAGGCCCCAACTAGACGTACTATACGAAGCCCTCGAAGAGACTCAAAGGAGCTCAAGCCCAGAGGGACCTCTCAAGCCGGACTTCCCCCAAGAGATACGGCGAAGGAGGCACCCCTGCCCCCAGTCAAGCCTGCGGGATTGCGGGCCCCAGACGGGGTAGTTTCTATTAGAGTACCGAGGCCCTGGCCCAGTCTTCGAGAGCGAGCTATTCGTCGGGACAAACCAGCCCCCGGGACAGAACCACTCGGTCCCGTGAGCTCCAGCATCTTCTTGCTGTCGGGGGAGAAGTCCCAAGAAATTTCTGAGTCTCGGTCCCGCAAAGAATGGGGCCAGCAGCCGAAATCTCTGCCTCCGAGGAGGACTCCAGAGGATCGGGTGATCCAGGAGACTGCCAGTCTGTCTTCCCAGGAGACTTGGGATCCCACCGTTCAGGCGACGCCGATTCTGGCTATGCAGGAGGCTCCCAATGAAGCGCTCCAGGAGGCAACATCTACGCAGTCAACTCAGGATCTAACTGTGAAGGGACCTCAGATTTCACCTACGCTGGAGACTACAGTTCCAGATACTTCGGAGCGCAGAGACGCCCCCGCTCTCTCCGGCAGATCCCGAATGACAATTCCTCGACCTCGGGACGTACGGAAGCTAGTGAAGAACACCTACTCGCTGAGTTTCCCAGCTGCCGCCAGCTCCAGCCTGGGACTGCCTGAGCCTCCTTGCGCTCCCGGGGGCCCCAGCGAGGAGAGCGAGGCTCCGCCGGGACCCCCCGAACCCCCTGCGCCTGTTCACTACACTTCTACTTTCCAGAAGAACTTCCTGCCAGTAGTGACCCATCCCTTTGAAGTCCCAGAGCCGCCGACCACTGGGGGAGTGGGAGTAAGTGACTCCGCTCCCCTTAGCCCCAGCGGGGCCCCTCAGGGCCACCAACCTCCCCAGCCTCAGCGCCAGTCAACGGGCCACGAAGAAGGAGATCCGACCCCGCGGAGGAAAGCAGAGAACAATACAGCCAAGCCTTTTGCTCGTAGCGAGATCCGCCTGCCGGGAGCCCTGTGGTTGTCCAGGAAGCCAGGGGTCAGGGCGCAGCCTGAGTCCAGCACAGAGATCAGCCGTGTTTCCTCAGGGTACAGTCCTCAGACCCAGCGCCTCCTTCCTGAAGGAGAGGTCCAGGCCAATACCCTGGGACCTCCCCCTATCCCCAAGGAACCAAGAGAGAGGCCAGAGGTGGAAACACACTGTCCACCTCAGTGGCCAGGGGCTGGGCAGACACCTAGCTCCTTGACAGGGCCCCCACATCCAAATCTCAGGGGCTCCCTCAACCTGGGGTCCCCACACTCTGACCAGGCCAGTTCCCTGGCCCTACAAGCCCAGAGCCTAGAGCCCGGAGCCAAACCCCAGCCAGGCCTGGCTGGGACCCATCCCTCAGGGAACCAGATTACAGCCAAACCTGCTTCCCTATCCCAGCCCAGGGCAGCTTCCGCACCTCCTATGACCCAGGTCCTTGACAGCCCTTTCCGGGGCCGGGGTAGGGGACTTCGGAACTCTGGAACCACTCCATCAGGGAAGGTTCTGGTAGATCCAGAGAGTGGTCGCTACTATTATGTGGAGACGCCCAAATCTCCTAGGTTAAAGTTGCTCTTTGACCCAGAGAGTGGTCAGTACTTAGAAGTTCTTGTTCCCCCTTCCCCAGCAGGGGCACCCCTCC